GTTTGGCACCATGTGTGAAGATTTGCACAGAACAGCACTTTATTCACACAGTGGAGGAAAGACTATTATCTCCTGTTTTGGGGACTTTTGAGTCTACCAACTTATGGATTGTTCTAATGTAAATGTGCATTTATGAATTACTTATTACTGTATTGGTTTTGTTTTGCTTGTCTATACACTGAGTGGCCAGATTATTATGACCACCTGACGTTTGTAGGCTAATTAGCTATAATTGGTAGACATGTGCGATTCGTTTCGTTCTGAATCGAAATTCGGATGAATTTTTGGAAATTCGGACATTCGGATGTATCCGAATTACAGACATAACGAATGCAAACGAATCCGAATTTCCATTTCCAAAATTCGGTAGCGGTAGTTCGAACGTTCGTTTCGTATTCTGTTCTTATTCGTTTCATTCGTTGGAGCAAAGTGACATTAGAGAAGGAGAAAAATATTTTTTCCCCCTCAAATGTCACTTTGCTCCAAACGAACGAACGAAACGAATAAGAAACGAATAAGAAACGAATAAGAAACGAATAAGACCAGAAAACGAAACGAACGTTCGAACTACCGCTACCGAATTTCGTCCGAATCCAAATCCGAATTGACTTTCACACCCGAATCCCGAAAAAGGAAATAACAAATCCGAATTTAAAACGAAACGAAACTAAATGAATTTTTTGGCAGTGCACATGTCTAATAATTGGCGCTGAAGTTGCTAGAGGGCCAGACCATTATAAATAGGGAAGCAGGTTGTTTACAATGACAGTAGAAGTGATTTTTTATGAAGATATGGGTAAACAACGCGATTTAACAGCCTGGATGATTGTTGGCGCTCGGAGCCATCGAGCAAGTATCAGCAAAACAGCAGAATTCGTTAAATGTTCAAGAGCAGCTGTTGTTAAAGTGTTTAAAGACTGGACTGTCAGCCGCAAATCTGGGTCTGAACGTGCGAATTGTGGCCGTCAGCGACTAGTCAATGTTAGGGCAGAACGGAGAGTGGCAAGACTGGTACAAGACAACAGAAGGGCAACAGTGCAGTGTCAGATTACTCGCATCACCTTTCAACATGTCGTGGAGTCACGAGGCGGCCCAACAAAGTAATCTTGTGACCCAACAAAGTACTGATGGGGTGGTCATAATAATCTGGCCACTCAATGTATATCCTGAGGGGTATTCCCACAGCTGTTTGCACTCTTCTAAGTTTTTGGACAGAGCACAATATATGATTATATCCCTGGAATTACACAGTTTTAGTATTAAGGAGTTTAGTAAAGGTCTGTATATATACAAATTGCTATCCACATTTTTGTTGTCTTTACCAGCAGTCATTTTACTAAGCATATATAACTCCAAAACCACAATCAGGATTTGCTTAACAAAGTCTGTAGCATAAGTCAAATATAGAAAAAAAAAAAAGGGACAGGAACGGCTACTACCAAAGAAAGACAACATGTCCCATAGACTTATGTGTTACCACACTGATTCTCATGCATAAAAGCTGAGCAGCCTAAAATAGCCAATGAGATTTCTGATGTCATTATTCTACTACAGAAAAAATATACAAAATTAAAATCAACATCTCTTTGATCGCTACTGACCATAGACGCTTTTCTTCAGTCAAATGATATCACTGTGCCTTCTGTTATTTTTCTGAATGTACATGAGCTATGCACAATTATTCATATTTAAATGTTTCAAACTATTTCTGTTGCATATTGTTCATATCACCTGTAAACATGGCATTACATTTGTATTCCCATTTTAATGTCATGAAACTCACAGATGCACTTTCAATGTTCATTTACTATCCTCTGTTTAGCCTTTGTAACTTGCAGAAAAAAAGATAAAACCTAAACATAAATTCTACAGCAAAATCACAAAACTGGCAATAAAAAAAAATCAAAACCAGACATATCAATTGATAATTCGTCAACACTTTCAGAAAAGCATAAAGTTAAAAATGAAACCATAGCACTTTTTCAGTTTTGTACCACAAGAGAAAACGATTTTGCTGGGACACAAATCAATAAGTAGGCATATTCTGAGAGCTGGAGGAAAAAACACTGCAGGCTGCATTTTGTTACCGACAATCAACAAAAATGAATAAATGGAAACTGTATTTTTGAACACAATAATACAGACTTGTCCTCGCTTTTTCTGTGGGGTTTGGTTTCTTACCAAAGTGCATGACAAGTGGAAATTGTCCATTAATAATTAATTAAGAGTTTGCTTCCAGTGGCACCACCTTAGTATATGTAGGCCCACCTTCACACTTCTATAGTGAGTTGCGTTACCACATGAATGTTAACTCACGGTACCTTGTGCAATAATGGGCTGAATGGGTTCGGATGGGCTGTCAACACACCACAAGGTACAAAAACAGACATGCACTTTTTTTTAATGTACCGCACTTCAATGCTTGTTTGTTTGCAAGGTGTGTTGGGATGCTTTTCAAATTTGCGCTGCCAAAGATGCGTTCCAAACAGATGTAAAGCCAGCCTTATGGGGGTATTGGTGTATGTATGTTGGTAAACTTCTCAGGGACCTTCTGCAATACATATACAAGGGCGCCACAGCATATGACTTTACCACCAATAATGCCTACCAAATACCTATTCCTCACAGATCATAATGGGGCATGATAGCCTATTCCATATAATAAAATGATCATGGCAATGCTGCCATTGGTAAAATGAAGGTAAAACCACCATAATATTCTTCATAAGGGAAGAAAGTTAACGGCAGACATATTAAGTTATAGTAAACAAGTCTTCCACAGATTGGTAAAGTAGCTCACATCTGTGTACATAAACCTAACCTGCTAAGGTTAATGGTTTAGTATTACCCAATGTAGCAAGGGGAATCAGTCCTAAATATTTTAGGCCCCATTCACACCTGAGATTTTTGCAGCTTGATTGCCTAAGTGCTACAATGCTCAGCAAGAGGAATCCCAATGTTTTCTATGGCCCCTTATTTACAGCTCAGTGTTCTGTCACTTGCAGCAAGGTAACTGAGCTTGGAAAAGCACATGCGCTTCTTTTCAGGCAGAACCAAGCATTTTGGCTTCATAGACTTTAATGGGAAATGGCTGAAAACTGTTTGTAAAGAACGTTCTCATGTGTTTTTTCCAGGCATTCTTACTTAAAAGTCTAGGGGGGCAAAAATGTTCGATTCTGCTCCTGTTCTGCAAGTGGAAATTAATCTAAAACCTTTTTTTTTTAAAGGTTTGGACAGAATAAGAGACGGTTTAACCCTCGTCAGCTTTTTCTGCAGTCTCTGTGAGATTTCCCTTTACTTCCTGTCCATTAGCCACAACAGGACGTTACATGGAAATTCCTCCAAAGAGAGGGAGATCCCTGGTGGTCAGCAGGTTCACCAGACCTATAGTCCCCATTGGAAGATTTCCCATCTATTCCTGTTCCGATGACAACTCAAAATGTGGGAATTTCTTTTGCTTTCCCGCTTTAACTTTCAGTGATAATGGTCACAAGGACAAATACAGAGGGTAAATAGAGACACAGACAGCAATAAAACAACAGACAGATGTTCTAATCCATCTCCACTCTATCCAAAACTGACTTCAGTTGCACTTTAAAAAACGCAGGTAAAAACATGCAAAACCTAACAGGGTTATTCACAAAAGGGGGGAAGAGTTTGGAGAAGGCAACAATCTAAGACAACATAGCTGATTTGGAAATATTCTCCAATTCAGCTCACTTTCCAGTTCAGCTATGCTGTCCTAGATTGTTCTCTTCTCCTGCCTTCTCCAAACTCTTCACCCTTTTTGAATAGCCCTGTAAGTCTCTAAATAGTCTGGCTATTCTCATGCTTAGATATGAATGCAGCCTAAGCGTCGCAGTACTTTTTTGTTTTGTTTCATGATAAAAAAATAACAGAGGCCAAAAAGCTCCCAGAGTTCTAAGCCTGCCAATCTGGGTCTGCTTTACTAAACATAAAATAAATAAATATCCCCAATCCCACTGAAAAGGCTGGCAAGCATCTAGGAGACAGCAGCAGTACCTGTTTCAACAAAATGGCACGTGTGTACTTTTAAAAAGCTAGATGGTAATTTCACTGTTTCGGTACAGAGATATATAACCTGCAATATAGGCAGTGTTAAAGAAAGATGCCATAAAACCTGCCACCATTCTATATAAACATATATATCAGCTTCCACCAACAATGCAGTTTATTCCCACCTAATTGTAGGGTTATGAGATTGAAGTCAGAATTAGCCCTTTTTTTTACTAATACAAAATATGTAAACTAAAACTGAGATGACAAATAACATTTTTACATTGTGTTTGTTTAATCGCCCTCAATGCTCATATCTCTATAACCCAGTTCTGGGCTAGAGCCAAAGGGATCTATACATTCCCCAAGCAAGGTGGGAGGCGATGCAAGTGTCCTTCACCTTTCCATGACTACCTCTGACCAGACAGGCACTGCTTGCACTATGCAGTGTATGGATGGTGCTGCCTGTGTCAGACAAATGTATAGTTAAATTACAGACTCTGTACATGCTTCATATATACATGAAGGAAAAAGGTGGGCAACATGAAAACTGCATATGGCTAATGAATTTGCAGTACTTAAAGGAGTCAGTCCACCCACAACTGGTAGGCCAATGCTAACGAGCAGAATAAGAAACTGGTTTCTGTGTTCCTCTAAGTGACTCCAGCAAAATAAAATTTGGCCCTTCTCTGCTGAAGAGGCTATTTCTACCTAATCGGGAGTCCCAGTCTTCCTCCTCTCTATAATGTGATTTTAAAAAACATAGTGAAACCCCGCTACCAAAGCAGGAGGGAGGGCACATTTGGGAACTCAGACATATTTCAGTGCTGGAATCCTTAGCAAATACTAGAAGGGAACTTCAAAGCCTCTCATTTTAGGTGGAACAGTCCTTTAACATCAATGGATTATTCTCTGTCTCCCTTGTTCTGACATAAACCTTATAACACAAGAAGAAGCAAGTCATATCATGGCTGGAACTTAGGTCAGCAATTAGAATGTGTGAGGTCTTTTAATATTTGTCAGTGCAGCAGAAGACAGCAGAGTCACCTACTGTCACATAAGGTATGCATAAGGTATGCACTGGATCCACACAGGTCTACTGCTAGATCTGCACACATTCTCATACACCATACAACATCTAACAAAATACACTTTTTTATCTTTTTTTTTGGTCGGTGTAAACAAGCAAGAAGGAGCTCCAGAAAGTAAACAAATATTTTGTAACATCTACAAAATATAATCCTTATTGGATAAGTAGCTAAAGCTGCCATTGTCTTTGCATTTAATAGGACACATCACTCCTCCATGGCAGCCCAGGCTTCCTCTGCCTTCTGATAGTACTGATTTGCCAGTCTTCCTTTCATAGCTTCCATTGCAGCTTCAGCAGCCTCTGTGTACAAGTCACCTAGATGGAAAAGAGAACATTGTGAGTGTCCAGCACACCATATACTACATTGCTAGGACCTTGCATAAGCAATAATATGATGAAAATGTACAACAAGGAGGAAAAAATATCCTCTAGCTGGAAAGTGAGCTGAATTGGGAGAATTTTCCTATATCAGCTATTTTGGCCTAGATTGTTCCCTTCTACTGCCGTCTCCAAACTCTTTTTGTCAAGGGACTTGAACAAAGCATATATTCTCACCTGATCCCTGCTCCCTAGCAGTCAGCACTCACCTCTCTCCCCATCCGCTCCAGCTGTGATATCTCCCTTAGAGTCATCAAGTCTAATACAGGTAACTAGACATGCATAAGACGTGATGACATCAGCAGTCCTTAGACTGCCGGAGACCAGGAAAATGGAGGGAGCAAGGATCAGATAAGTAAATCTGCTATATTCCATCCCCTAGCCTAGACCAAAACAAACAGTTAACCCTTGCAGTGCAGGAGTAGCCCCACTGGAAGGGTACGATTTGTATTTGCCTGGAGTTGTTCTTTAAGCACAGCCTTACAGAGGAAAGTTACTAAAAATGGTGAAAAACATCAGAGTCTGTCTCCTTCATCGGCCTTTTACTACCTCAGCTAAAATGAAAAAGAGATACGTTTTAGGGGGAAAAAAGTCTCAATTCCTGGACAAATTATGACTCGGTGTTCTTGTTTGTTAGATTTGTCAGTGATTTTCAGTGATAGCATGTCGATCATAAATATATTTACTAGTGTCCCAAAAAGGCTGATGTACTATAAGAAGGTGTGGCAGTGTAAGCCAATACCACGGTGTTAGGTGGCCTCAAAGTCACCCAGGGTTCTCAGCCAGAGGGGCTGAGTGGCTCCAGGAAGACAGTACGTGTACCAGGAGAGAACTGCCTTTTCAGTTATTTCCAGGTTGTCTGGATCATAGTTGGGATCCTGGAGCCAGGAGATTTCTTAGAGCTCTGGGTGGGATGAAATCTCCATTCCTGGGTCCATGCTTTGGTAGTGACCAGCACCTGATTGTGCACCTGTGTACATCCTTCATGAAGAGTGTGCTGGGATGTGTTCAGGGCCCCACCTGTGAGTCAGGAGAGCTCCACCCTGGGGAGTGTTGGAGTTGTGTGTGTGCAGGGAGCACACGGACACAGACCACCTCGGGTGCGCGCTGGACGCACACGGAACAGCCAGGGGTGGCTGGGAGCGGTCAGGAAGGTCGGTGACCCTAGGACCTGCGGTACAGACTGCTGGGAGAGCAGAGTGAGTGCCCATGAGGGGAGAGGTCAGGAAGGTCGGTGACCCTAGGACCTGTGGTACAGACTGCTAAGAGAGCAGAGGGAGGGCTCACGAGGGGTGAGCAAGCGTGAGTGTCTTGAAGCTGTGGAAAGCTACCGAGCGAAGCTAAAAGACTGTCTTATGTTGCTGTTTCAAGCTATTTTGTGTTTGCCCTTTTAATAAACTGCATTCTACTTGATTTACCTGGACTACAGTGGAGTGTCCTTGTTACAAAGGATATCCAAGAGTGCACACCAAATGCCATACTGTTATCGCTAGTTCACACCAGCATTTCGGCCAGCTCACTTTGTGTTGGAGCGGGAGGGAGTGTGGTAGTGCATTGAACTCAATGGCACCGCAGCCACTCTCTCCAGCCGCAGGGGAACACGTGGCCGGAACGCACTGTGGCTGGTGTAAACTAGCCCTTAGTGTGAGGCCTGCAATTTTAGCCAAACTCAGTTTTCTGTACACTGTAAATTAGGAAGTTTCCTAACTTACATCACATTGTTTACCTGACATTTACAAATGTCATATTGTGTTTAACATTGATCAATATAAGATGCATGCTACAATATATGGAGCAGGACAAACAGCAGAGAGGTAAAAATGAAACAAATAGGAGAGAGGTTGGCAGAATAAAGAGGCTTGCCAGAAGAACACAGGAAACTGACTCATGATCAGAAGACAAAGCATGCTACAGCTTAATGATAGTAATTATCGGCTTGGAACACAGCTCTGTAATTTATGCTGACTAAAAGACACCGTCACCTTCCCCTTGCATCTCCCGAAATCCCTCAAAAAAAAACTTCTACCCTCTTTTAAAAATGTAATATAATTAAATAGTGTTCATATTTGGAGAAAACAATCCAAATATGCTGCTAGACCAGCAGAAACAAGCTGACTCAGCTGAACGCGTTTAAGGGGAATTTGTGGAATTATAGTGTTCTTATTTTACCTGATCTTTGTGGGTCTTTCTCCAAATTGTATCCCCCAGTGAGCAGCATTTCAGCTTCTCTAGCCAGCAGTAGATATTTGGGTTCATCTTGGGTGCCATCATATTCTCCCCCTTCATCATAATCAGTCATGTTCAGAGCAGAATTGTACCAGTACAGAGCTTCTTGCCAGTCCTGTTCCCTGTACAGATTTGGTTAAGATATTATTTTCCATTAAGCTACAGATAGCCCATTACATTATCTGGAACTAATATTATCTGGAACAAGGGCAATACAGAGAAATATTCAGCAAATCATTTATGGAATGAAACTAAAAACCAAAAACCAGATTCTTCAAAAGCCATCAAAACACATATTGACCCTGATAGGCCTGGTTATACAGCAGTGTAAAATATATTCATAACATATATGTTACCTGTCTTCTGCAAGATTGAGTCCTGTGTCATATGCTCGAGCAATCTGCATCATAGAAGGACGGTCCCCAGCTTCTGACGCCATCAATAAATAGTTAAAGCCCTTAGTTCTGTTTTCTTCTGTGTCCTTTTTGTAAAGAATATAAAAAAGTAATATAAACAAAGGGGTCTATTGGGCTTTTTTCACATAGCAATGCTATGAGCAACCAATCAAAGTTTACTTTATTGCACCTAAACTAAAGCTGGCAGGGCGGATTTCTCCATCCTAATGTATGGCCAGACTATTGTATTCTGACAGTGACAGATGGGCTAATGTCAGAATGCCTGAACAGTGACTGCAGCTGATTAGCTGAAGTCAGGGCCCGTTCACACCAGATGCAGTGCGTTCCGGCCCGATTCTAGCCAGAACGCACTGCCTCGCATTGCGGGCGGCTCACTTTTTTGTGGGGCAGGAGGGGGCGTGGCGGGACATTGAAGTGAATGGCACCGTAGCCACGCCCTCTGGCCGCAATGCGATCGGCCGCACAGGATCGCAAGACACATTATGCCTGCGGTACAGTGCGATCAAAATAGTGCTTGCAGCATTTTGATTACCTCCTCGTGTCACTTGCCCCTCCCTTTTAGATTGTAAGCCCTCAGGGGCAGAGCCCTCCTTGCCATCTTGTCTTGAATTGTATTGTGCTTGTAATGTCTTCCTTATATTGTAAAGCGCTAAGCAAACTGTTGGCGCTATATAAATCCTGTATGATAATAATAATATTACTAAAATCCCCAGAATTAATCACTAGGAGTATTCATTTATCGTTAAACTGATTTATTAAAAATGACCCCCAGCAGTGGAAAGTATCATGTAATAGCGATCAACTGCACATAATTGAAGCATTGTGGAAGATGAATCACTATTGGAAGCCATTCATGTAGTTTACACAATAAGGAGGCATTTGTTCCATCCATTTGACTGCTGCTCTAAGCAATACATTGCCAGTGATATCTTAGGGTGATTGAACTACTAAATATCACTCTAGTAGCTCTAACAGAAGAGTTTTCTGCATGACCCATTTATTTTCCAGTCCCATCTTAAACCTCCTTATAGCTGAAAGATAAGTATTTTTGTGACTTATAGACCTGTGATCCCTCACAGACCCGTAAGAAATGATTGGGAAGTATTTTATTGCTTTAAAATCTTTATTTCTTCTGCCAGGGAGAAAGAGTCTACAAAAGTTGTGCGGCTCACCTGCCCTTTCCTTTTCTCTCCTCCATTTATTAAAATTGTACTATTACTTCCCACAATGCAAAGCAACCTGTGATTAGAGGATGGGTGAATCCTGTCATTCCTCCACCCATCCTCCAAGCACCAGAAGATCAGCGCTGTAGGAGGAATCCAACGGCACCTGTGGGAGGATTTCTACAATAAACAGCATAAATAAATACAAAATATATCGATTTACACAAAAGCCTTAGCAAAGTGACATAAGATGGGTCTCCAGAACCGAGCTGATCAATCAAATGTTTACATTTCTAGGACAAATTATAATCAAATTGTTTGCTGCATAGATAATTCAGTCACAGAATTTCAGTCACAAGGCAATCTGTGTTTGGAAAGGGCTTTACCTGCACAGAAACTTCAGTCAGGATATGATGGGGCAGCTGAGAGTACATGAGGCCAAGGCCAATAATGGCTTCCAGTTCTCCACAATGAGCAGCATGTTCCAGGTGAAATATAGCAGATTCCTGATCCCAGTCCTGATCCTTCTCACAGAAACGCCCTCCTTCATGGTAACGTACCATTGCCAAGTGAACCTACCATGCAATTAGACAAACAGTTTTAGAACAGTGCAAGTTGATTAGAAGTGGGTTTAAAGTGCATTTCCACTTTTGCAGTCAAATTTCAGAAAACCCCATTATATGTTTGCTATGTGTTCCCATTCACACAGCATGCCTAAAAATATGTTTCTTCGCTTTTAGGTGTGTCTTTGGTGAAAGCCTTTGTGCATATTCCTAGCTACTCTGAGCAGTTTGAGAGAGAAACTATAGTGTAAGACTGAGGGAGAAACTGAGCCTTCTCTCACTAACAATACCTCTAAGGGCTTGTTCACATGATATCATGTCAGATCAGCCTGAACGGACTGCGCACGTGAGAACTGTAGCCAATAAAACACATAGGGATACATTGGGATGCATTTTAAGTGCAGGAGCATACGGATCAGGTCAGCACAGAAACGGACGTCATGTGAACAGGCCCTTAGGCTTTCACCCTTTTTTAGGACAGACAGGGTTCATATCTGGTTTACAAGTGATGATGAGATCTGAGAGACACAGTACACAGGGTTAATAAGAGTAAACATAACTTCCCACAGCCCCCTGCTTAAGATTATACAGGAGGAAGCTAGTTAAGATTGTTAAGCAAGTTAAAAGAGCTTGAAATGTAAGCAGGAATTTTTTTAAAGTTATTCAATGTGAATGGAAACTTGCTACAAATAAAACATTGGTGTTATCCCAATTTGGCTGCAAAAATGAAAATACACTTCCTGTTCTCACTGGAGGACTCTCTGCAGCTACGTCCTGTTTTCTTTGTGTGCTCAGTACAAGTAGAGCCTAGATCTGAGTGATTAGCCCTTGCCAGCTGGAATCTCAACACCTTCCTCCTGTGTGCTCTAAAGCAACACTACAACGTCTGCTTTCAATTCTACCAGGTTTAAATGTAGCAGAAAGTACATGTGCCACCTCTTGGATGTGGATCATGGACCTTTGCACTTCAACTCTCATCTATTCTCAGTCCATGAGGAGCTTACTCTTTGCTTCCTCTCTGCTAACCCCCTACTTGATGACAAACTCCTATTTTGCATCTTTTATTTGGAATATTCTCCCAACAGTCCACAGTGTGCTCATGCTAGGCCTTCTGTATCCTCTCTGTCAACAATCAGGTCCCACTCTTCCTACTCTTGCTTCCCATAGTCCTTAAGCATTTCATGTTCTGGCAACTCTCCTCTTTCCTTCTCAAACCCATGGTCAGCTCTTGCCTTTCATTCCAGTGTTCCTTTCTTGCTTCCACTCCCTGATATGAACAGGTTCCTCTCTGACTATCTATGCCTTCCTGGTCTAGTGTCACTATAGCTGCCATTATGCCTTCCCGGTCTAGTGTCACCATAGCTGCCCTTCTATCTCCGCTATCTACCCCTCCCCATGTCCACAATCCGCAGGAAATTGCTGCAAAGTAAATAGCAAACACTTGCAATATGTTTGCTTCTGGAACCATCTCTTTTGTAATTCCATACTGTATGTTTCAAACGTTTTGATTTTACCTTCCCAAGAATGGACTTTCCAATCTTCTTCTCAAGCACGAGGGCATTAATTCTTTGCACTTCAACCGCAACACAGGATGGTCGATGAATGTGCACACGGGATGCATGAAACTGGTTCCACTTCTCCACAGACACCTGAAAGAATAAAAAAAAAAACAGAAACGTAGTTAAATCCATGGTAGCTATAATATATATTGAAATAAGGGCACAGTAGAATTACAAGACTGCCAGCATGAACTGTATCAGTAAGTACATACAGTAGCATCACATGCTCTACATACAAATGCAACTTGTTTTACATATAGCTTTAATGAACCCTTTCCTGACTAGAGCTTATTGATGCCTAGAAAAAATTTAGCAGCATCAGCATGTTTTGGTTAACTTAACAATCACGCTATGACTGATTTGCCCACCCAAATATATATATATATATTTTTTTTTTTTTAACAACATAAAAGTCATTTATTTGGCACACTGTTTTATGAAAAAATAAATACCTTGATCTGCTTTAATTATAGATGTACAAATGCACACAATATAAAAACAAATTATAATAATAATTATTTTTTAATAATGCAACTGTATCTAACAGTTATTGTATTAAATAGATGGCATCACAGATTAACATTGCAGCCTGAAGATGGCAGTATTGATCTGAAAGAAGAAGGCTTTTTTTTTTTCTTAAGGAAGCCTCCAGCCAACATGTGATTACTATGGGGTCTACTCACAAAGCTGCTGTAGGCAGCCAAGTGAATAACCGACCTGAAGTGAAATGAGCCGAACGCTGTTCGGCTATTCACTTCAGGCTTGTACGGATGATTTCAGCCGTACACCGACTAAAATCAGCCGTACATTGGCTTGCTGCGGCTGGCTTCGGGTCGGCCAAACATGCTCAGCATATAGCTTTTCGGCCGACCCGAAGGGCAGAAGGAGTTCGACTCAGCCGATCCAACATCAGGCTACTCGCTGCTGTTCGTCTATACTCGGCTATTCTGCTCGGTACCTCTGTGGAACCGAACAGAATAGAAAAACAGTTGAAAAAAATAAAATAGAAAATGATTGGGCGGAGCTAGCAGTGACAGTAAGCTCCGCCCAACTGTTTTCTATTAGCCGGGCCTTCTGTCGTCAGAATAAAAAAAACACCATAGGAATGCATAGCTAGATTCCTATTGGCTATTTCACCTTGCAATAGCCAATAGCAAACTTGCTATTGCACCCGCCCTCTGCTGCTGTCAATCACTAGAAGGGGACCTGATGGAGAACTTCAGGTCCACCCTGCTGATTGACAATTTTAATTCTGACGGCAGCCAACGGCTCCGATGTCAGAAGAAAAAATAAACAAAAGACAACAGAGCAGGGAAAGGTTTACTGTGCTCGATTGAGCAGAATAAAACTTTCCAGGAGAAAGTGTTTCTCTCCTGGGTGGCCGGGAGCCGCTATCTAGCGGGAGACTCCTGGAGCGTCAAGGAGAGTTGGGCTGTCTGAAGATCAGCGTCCCTGGTTACCTGGTAACCAGGGACGCTGATCTGTCTGTGCAAGTGGCCGGAGTCCAGCAGTCAGTAGCAGGCTGTCAGCCAGCCAATGGCCGGCCATTCGGCCAGCTTCGGCTTCCACCGCGGCTCAGTCGAGCCGAAGCATTTGCCTTCGGCTCGACTGAGCCCCTCGGCCAACTTCGGGAGCTGTACGGGCTATAGTGAATAGGTTCTGAGGTCGAAGCTAGCCGAAGGATCTAGCCGTAGCTTCGACTGATCCTTCGGCAGCTTTGTGAATAGACCACTATATTAGAGCTTACATAGCGATCACATGATTTGAATCACTCTGATTGGTTATTGATCATTAGTGGGAGCATCGACAAATAAGAGTCATCAGTTGCACAAACTGTTGGCTGCTTGCTTTCAAAGGGGAAGAGGTTTATTAACATATCCTCTGCAGGAAACTGTAGACTTGAGCATGTATGATACATAAAACCTTGTGGCTACTGCTAAAGGAATTCCGTACTGAGAGAAATATCGAAGCGACTGTAATTGCTGATCCAATGACATCAATACTTTTAAAGTAAGACTACATTCACACATGAGCGGTTTTCAGCGCGTATTTGTACATAGGGAAACGTGCTAAACATAAAAAACATTGCATTCCAATGTACACTGTTTAGACTATTGCGGCACCTGCGCGGTACGAAACCGCGCATCCCACGAAATAGTGCACAAGTGATTTTAGGGGCAGATTATGCATGTTGTAAAACATTGTGCGTTTTCGTGCCGCCCGTGAAATGCAAACGCCATATGTGAATGGAGCCTTACTGACCTAGAACATGTATTCACATCAGGTGTTTTGACCTCACTTGCGGCATGCTTGTTCCAGGTCAGTGATTATAAAAAAACTGAAGGTGGAGACAGCCAGGCAGAATACATTTTAAAAAGAAGATAAGCAATGACAGCCTATATGTTTATACATTTTTATAAATTGATATAATTTTTGCTCACCCCTTGCTCTAGTGCAGGGGTGCCCATAAGGTCGATCGTGATCTACCAGTGATAGCTAAGCGATCACTGGTAGATCGCGATGTCCTCTCCTCCCGCGGCTGAAGTGCTTCTTTTACTTCTCCTCGGATCCGATGCTACCTCTACCCGGGAGAGCAGGGGGGATCCAGAGGAGAAGACGAGCCCCCGTGTGCGTGGCCGAGCGGCAGAGGATCGGTACATATCAGTGATATGTACCAATCCTCTGTGCAGGACAAACACTGGAGCGATCAGCTGATCACTCCAGTGTTTGTAAATAACTGGGGACATATAGTACTATGTGTCCCCAGTTATGAATGAACAGGATGTGATTTACATCACTTCCTGTTCATTCATGAGTTTCTCAATGGGGAGAAGCACTCTGTACAGAGGCTCCTCCCCATTCAGAAACTGGATGACAGTAAAATATTTTCTGAATGCCTCTGTACTTTCCATTCATTTAGAATAGAGGCTGCAGAAAAAGAGATTGAGGACTTGTGTCCTCAATTTCTTTTTCTATTTTAGAAGGGAAATATTAGGGGGCTGTTTAGAGAAGAAGAGTTAAAAAAAATAAATTAATAAAAAATAAGAAATAAAAAAAATAAAATAAAATAGTAAAATAAAAAAAAAATCCTGGAGGCAGGGCGCTGGGTGACATCACAAGCCTGTTGGGGGGGGCACAGGTTTTTCTTGCCTTGGGCGCAAAAGGAGCTGGCTACCCTCCCGCGGTGCTCGTGCGGCTGAATGTGTCAGATGCTGCAGATGGAAAGGGGCAGGTCACCTCTCCCCCTGTGCATTGTCGCCCACATGAGCACCACGGGAGGACAGGACACTGTGGTCCTTATGACACACTTGAATTTAACGCCGGCCGACTCCCTGCCTTCAGGGGCTTGAGGGGGTGTGGGGTTGTATTGAAGTCAATGGCATGGCAGCAATATCCCCCGCCCACAGTACGATCGCCCACACCCGGAACGCAGGCACATTAGTGCTTGCAGCATTTTTGCGGATCGCACTAGACTGGAACGCAGGCACTAATGTGCCTTGGTTCCGGGTGCAGGCGATCGCACTGTGGGTGAGGGACCTGCCTGCGGTGCCATTGACTTCAATGCACCGCCACGCCCCCTCCCGCCCCTGAATGCAGCAGTTTTTTCGTTGGTAGATCTCATTAAGCTCGTCATTTGAAAAGTAGATCTCCAGACGAAAAATTGTGGGCGCCCCTGCTCTAGTGAATAGCCTAAAAACTTGTCAGTGGTCAAACCTTAGCCCACTATTAAAAACTAAAAAAAAAAGCATTTGCATTTACATAGATTTTAAGTATTGTTAAGTGTCTCAATGGTACCATAGCAACATTATTTTATCTGCTTAAGTTTTCAGTTCAGCCTCTGCCACAACTATTCTTGCTTGGGTCATGTACGGTAACATAATCCACCAACAATGAACTCTTTACGAGGATCAGTGGCCCTGACTTCCTCATTCAGCAAAAATTCAAAACAAAAGTAACAGCCACAGCTTAAAGGGGTAGACATATTTGCCGATATATTTCACCGATGGATGGTCAAATATAGGCAATAACGGCATGTTTTTATCTAGTGATGGCATATCACCTGATACTACCCTTTAAAGGTATACATCTTTATAGTCTATTACTGTACACATACACACACAGAGGCAGCACAACTAACATTAAAAAGCTTTACATGCTTTACATTACATGCTTTTGGTAAATCTAAGGGTCTGTGTTAATGGGCTTTGGGTTTGTGTTGGTGGCATTAGTTTGAGACACTTCTGATATCATTCAGAATTCACTGGCAGATGCATCTGACCTGCAGTTGCCTCTTTCTGACCCTGCATTTGGCCTGCTTCGAGTGAGTTTTGCATTCCCCTACACTTGTACAGGAATGCAAAACCTGCTTGAAGTGAACAAAATCTCAATCGACACAGGCCCTAAGAAAGATTGTAGAATCAGATTGTAGCACTAGCCCCTCCCTTTTAGATTGTAAGCTCTCACGGGCAGAGCCCTTCTTACCATCTTGTTTTGAATTGTATTGTGATTGTAATGTCTTCCTTATATTGTAAAGCGCTGAGCAAACTGTTGGCGCTATATAAATCCTGTATAATAACAATAATAATAGCATGTTTGGCAAGCTTTACTTTAAAGGAGAATTATGAGGCGAGTGATTTTCACTCAGCCTCATAATCTGAGCCGACCTGTGACAATGAAACTGTCACAGGTCGGCTCAGTAGATTGGGAAGTGAGCGAACATATACCGTCGCTCGCTCACTTCTCGATCTATCCCTGCAGAGAGCCGTGATTGTCACTCACGGCTCCCTGCAGTGATTCTCCCCCCCCTCCCCTGTCCGATCCTCCAGCGCTGACTGGAGGAACAGACGGGGGAGGGGGCGGGCACAGCTGGCTCTGCCTCTGGATAGGCAGAGCCAGCTGTCAATCACGCAGCTGGGTGGATCCAGACAGAATTGTCGGGATCCGTTTCGTCTGCGGCGTCTCAGCATAGCTGAGCTTTGGGTCACGGGAGAACGCTAGTTTGTGTTCTCCCGTGACCCTTAAGAGAACTATGGGGATAAGCCCTGACCCCATAGTTCTCCTTTAAGGAAGAACACAGTTGTAATAAATTACCAGTAAATAAGAAACTTTCTAATCATCATTGATTCCTCCCACATGTAATACAGTATGTAGTACACAGGGAATATGTGCACGCACATGGAAATGGCTATATGGCCAATTGCTACTTAGAATGCCAAATGTATTTTAAAAAATAACACAACCCTAAAATACAAAGTAGCCTCCGTTGCTACTTTGCTGAACATTAGTTTGTACATATATAAAAGCACATACTACTCATGCATAGCCACTCGCATAGAAAACCAAGATAACAGCAACTTCAATTTTCATCTTGAAGTTTAGACCTTTAAATTTAACCTGTAATATTTATGAAGAGCAAATGGTGAAAAAAATAATCATACGCAGAGGTTACAACCAGTCAGGGCCGGCGCAACCGCAAGGCAAGTCAAGCGGCCGCCTGAGGGCGCTGAAGGGGTGAGGGCGGAAAAAACAGGGCATTTTGACAAGTAATTGTACTTGTCAAAATGCCCCGATGCTTGCGCTATGTTTTTTTTCTTCACTTACCTTCGGTGCGGGAGGGCAGCAGCGAGTCAGCGCTGGTCCGGTGGGAGGAGCTCCAGGTGGGGTCCTAATTTAGCTGGCCGGCGACTGCCAAAGGATCCTGACACGCGCGGCACAGCTAAGTTAGGACCCCACCTGGAGCTCCTCCCACCGGACCAGCGCTGACTCGCTGCTGCTCTCCAGCACAGCGCTGACTACAACCTCACCAGCGAGACACCTTCATCGAGCAGTAAGTGAGGGCAAGGGGGGTACCTATTAAGAACTAATGATTATTAGCAGGTGATAATAGTACATCTATTGTCTGCAGTGTGTACTCTATATGTACTACAATGATCTTCTGCTAATATGAATGGATTAAATGATCCATAGTACATAATATGTACATAACATGTAGTTGTACTACGGATCATTTAACCCATTCATGTTAGCAGAGGATGTTAGCAGAGGATAATTGTAAATCTATTGTCTGCAGTGTATACTCTATATGTAGTACATATATACAGTACACATTCCCAATACATTGCCGGCAATAGATTCACAATTATCCCCTGCTAATATTAATGGTTTAAATGATCCATAGTACAACTACATGATATGTACTATAGATCATTTAACCCATTCATGTTAGAGGATAATTGTAAATCTATTGTTGCAGTGTACTCTATATGTAGTACGTAGTACATGTACGTTACACACGCCCACTACACTGCAGCAATAGATTTACAATTATCCCCTGCTAACATGAATAGGTTAAAAGATCCATAGAACATAATAGTACATAATATGTAGTTGTACTACGGATCATTTAACCTATTCATGTTAGCAGGGGATAATTGTAACTCTATTACTGCAGTGTACTGGACGTGTGTGCTGTATATGTACTATGGATCATGATTTAACCTATTCATGTTAGCAGGGCAGAATTGTGAGCGCCTCCCACAAGCTGAGCACCGAGACGCAATGCAGCGATCCTGCCCAGCGACGACTACGAGAGGCACCGCGTGAGGCAACAGGGATCGGCGTGAAACGGTGAGTGAGGGAAGCTGGGACGGGGCTGGCTGTAAATCTATTGCTATAGTGTACTGGACGTGTGTAATGTATATGTATTACATATATACAGCACACACCTCCACTACACTCCAGCAATAGATTTACAATTCTCCCCTGCTAACATGAATAGGTTAAATCATGATCCATAGTACAGAACATGTAGTTGTACTATGGATCATTTAACCAGTTAGTGTTAGTGAATAGGGAGTGCAGCTAGTGTTAGTGGAAAGGGAGTGCGGTTAGTGTTAGTTTATGGTCCTGCTCAACATATGCACCTTCGCCTGTGTAGGCAAAAATCCTTGCACCGGCCCTGCAACCAGTGAAACCTCAAATCAGATCGGTTAGTAGATCAGGATTTACAACAGGAGCTATGCGCAATTTTTGACTTTTCCTGTAAAGCTGAGATTATGTGGATTTCACTGAAGGTAACCTCTAATGAATTTTTACATCATATGCAAAGTAAGAATTACCCAGGTCAGTGTCAGGTTCACACTAAGATAAAATGCATGTTGAAATTTAACAAGTACAAATGAACCAACCTGAATAATTGTTCAAGTGACTCTTTTGATAAAATTAGATGCCAATAAAAGTGAACCCTGCAAACAAGATAGTAAATACTTACCTCTCCGGCACCGTTGTAATGAAGAGAAACCACCATGTGAAGACTCTTTAGAAAAACAACACTTCAGATGACCGTTTTCTTGTCCCCAACTGTGCTCAGTGGTTCCTTCTGCCAACCCCTACATCACCACCATGTCTTGTAGTGGCATTGGGGTCAGCAGGAATAACCACTGAGCACAGTGGGGAACAAGCAGAGAAACAATCCTGGAAGTGTCAGTTTCAAAAGAGTCTTCAGGTGGTGATTACTGTTCATTACAATGGTGCAGAAGAGGTAAATATTTACCATCTACCTTGGAGAGAACACTTTTATTTGCAGTTTTATTCTAGTGACAGTAGCTTTCAATATGTATACTGTGTTCGCAAAACAAATTACATGTTTGGGCAAAGATACGCTATGTACCATGCAACCAACTGGAGGCAATGTTGTTGTTTTTTTTAGTACGACAGTATGACAGTAAGTAAACTGCAACAACCAATCAGATTATTTCTGATTGGTTGATATGAGTATTAGCCATTCCTAGATAGATAGCTGAACAATATTCATAGGAATCTGCATTGTAAAGTCATGCATTTATCAAGATACTAGTTATCAGATAAGCGCCCATCCAATCATGTGCAATCAACACAACAATGATGGCACTGATAAGTAACATAGACGCCACTCATTGCTAAATTTGGTAGGGAGTCATGCAGAATCACCAGTTTGTTCCGGGGGCTGTTTTTAGGATTCACATATGCCTTATTTAATGGAGATTTGCTCTAGTTGAAGAAAAGAAATTGGAAACAAAAAGATGTATTATGTGATGAACACATTAAATAAAACAGCAGTACTGGCCTTATTCTGTATTGCCACCTTCTAATATTACAGATAGGGACACATTCAAACACCAATCTGCTTCAACAATCTGAAGCATATGCCCTTCCATTTGAAGTCTGAAATTTATGGCATTCTCGTGAAAATAAATTTTTGAATATGCATAGAAAGCCGTAATGGGACAATTGACTCAAATTATTCTATATAGAATGCCTTCTTGAAAGAGTTTTTTTTTTCTGGTAACCATATTTGTCTAAAAGGAAAAAACACATGTCCTGTCCTAAAGATTACTCCAGGTAAGATATTTCCTCTCATGTGGCATTACATCAGAGAAAAGACATGATAATAACTTTCCATGGTTGGTGTTTTAGTTGGAAATGTTAGAGATCTATAAAAAGGTCCAAGGGTGGTCATAGATCGGAAGATATATCCCTGTGAATGACAGGCGGGGAGATATCTGCCCATCCTGGAGGAAGTCATTGGTACCAGCTGCGATAACTGTCTGACAATGACAGCAGCTCATGCCCATTCATTTCCTTAATCACATAGGAAGTGAATAATTGGGCCTGCTGCAGAGAGCTTTACTAATCAATTAAAAAATCATCCTGCACAATAAGGAATGTCTCTGTTCTTTATTGCCACCTAGGCGAGTAGAAATGGGACTCAAATAGCTTAATTTGGACCGTTAATGGACAGGCTTAGGAGACTCTATCAGGGCAAGCGGGTACAATTGGTACACACAGGAAGTGCAGGCACCCAGAGGTTTCTGCAGCAGCCTCCCAAACCCCTCAGTCATAGCTGAACCTTGGTCAGCTCCCACACTCTAGCCAACAGGAAGGTGGTGGATGCTCTGGAGGCTGGTGCAGGTAGATGCAAGCACTTCAAATGCCTGCACCCAATGTCTGCAGCAGTTTTTTTTTTTCGCCCCCTGACAGAGTCTTTCTCAAAAAGCTAGCCTGGAAATAATAAAATTAAGGAACATATATGACAATAATTAAAACTGAAAATGGCTACAATTACTTTGAAGCAGTACTGCTGTTTTAAGGATTAAAGCCCAAATCTGGGCTGCTGTTAAATTTACCCAGACAGTGAGGTTCACCCTAATTGCACGAGTTAAATGTTCATGTGGCTAGGACGGAAAGGAATAAGCACAAAATATTCCCTTATTCCTCACTTACCCAGGCTTCCTCCTCTCTGTGTGACTGGTCTCCTGAAGCCATTTCACTTCACAGTGGTGTCACCTGGTGAGTGTCACCCGCTACGGCCACTGAGCATGCGTTATGATGTCCGTGGTGTGATGTTATGTCATGTACTTCACTGCCGGTGGTCATCTTGGTGATGGACGCCGGCAAAGAGAGGAGGGGAAATTGATCCGGCGGGATCGGGTATGCCACTGGGTCCCCCCTTTCTCGTGCCACGGTCAAGCTCTCAGTCCATGACCAAGTGCCTGACTTTTAAGAGGGGACGACACCAAAATGACTGTCATGTTGATGTCACCCCCACTGGTCACTCGGTGCGGGCCAGAACCCCCCCCTGGTGACGCCACTGCCTGGCTGGTCGCAGCTCTACAACGTCACATAAAATGCAGATCTTCAGTCATGCATTGTACAGTAGGACGGCAAGGGTTTGCCCAAGTCCCAGAGAGATCCAGCTGCCAGAGGAGTAAGGTAAGTATTTGCACTTAATCCTTTCCCTCCTAGCCAAATAAGCATTTAACCCATGCTGTGCAGGGGGAACCCCACTGAATGGGTAAACTTAACAAAAGGCCAGAGTTGGACTTTAAAAAAGCAGATAATGGTGAAATGATAAGGGTAGAGAAAGACTATAGAAGAAATATAAATTCACTTCTGCATACCTTGCCAAAGCTGTCTTCAGACTCTGATTCCAATCTTCTCCGGTTATAATTTGCATGAACCTGATGGATGTAAAAATTCTGTGTTTGTCAAAGTGGCATCAACACTAAACTTTCTTCTTGTATACATTACATAATGGTCAATAGTGAGGATTTAGCCACACAAATACACACCCTTTAATACATAGGCTATGATGAGAAAATTGACTCTTATGGCACTTGGTTGTGTATGGAAATTATTATGAAAAACAAGAGGGAATATTTCCATGTTGGCTAACATCATCTAAGTTTACCTTGACATCCAACTGAACTTTCATTTTAAATTAAAAAGGTCTTACAATTCATTTTAGAAAACAGCCACGGCCTAGTAGAAAAGCCTGTCCTCTGCTGCCATGTGGCAGAGAAGAAACCCTTGCTCTCTGTGTGAAAGCAGTGGTCTCTCTGCAGAGGGTCCAACACACCTACTGTTGAGTCAGAGCCAATAAGCAGGATGCATGGTGGGGGATTTATCCATGTTTCACTCGAGTACCTTTACCCCCCGTTGAAAGGTCTAAAGGCCATGGCTGGTTTTAGGATACACTTATGTATTTTTTTGATAACCCAGAAGAAATCAACCAGAATTCTTCTTTAACTGCTCTAAAAAAAAGTAACTTGATGGACTACTATGAGATATTGCATTTTGGCTATTTTTTCTTTTTATGGCTATATGGAAAATACCTAAAAATGCAAGATCATAAGGACTGACTCAAAACAAATCAGCGATTTGTGGCACTCGGCACAGGACAATGTCATGCTGCTTCAAAGGCTTCAACAGTTTGAAGAAACGAGTATGCAGATCAGAAGTTTTGAACTGACTTTGTGAATGTTATGTACGGAGGATGGAGACAGCCAAGCCAAACTAAAATACTCCTATGTGAATTTTTTGTATCTGCCAGCTCTATCCAACCACATTTTTTCATTCATAAACCTCTGCCAGACAGCACAACCAGGACAGTGACACCAGATAGCCTTTTAGAGTACCGTGCATCTGTGCCCACGTGGACTATTTTTTTTTTACACATTCTTAACAAGCAGCATAAACAAGCCTTTCCTGACCTCTCTCATTGCTTGTAATGTGAAGATCACTACAAAGACTCTAAAGTCAGTTTCAAACAGCTTGGAGCACATGCTGAATGTTTACATTAGAGGGCTGCCAGGTTGCTGAGATTCTGGGGGTTCCAGTCTTCCTTACTAATACTAAAAGAAATTATGTCTGCGCTGCTGTTGGAGATTTACTCTCACTTCCTGTTTGGTGACACCGTTGTCACCCTAACAGTAAAGGTGGAAATCATGGCGCAGTCGAGAGCAAAAAAACCTAATATGGTGTTTAAACCTTTCCCACGCTATTTTTTTGGCTCAACGTACACTTCAAAGAAGAAATTAATCAAAAAGTGAAGATATGCTTTGTTATAGGGAACATTTGTTAATTGGGCCTAAACAGTACCAACAAAATGTACCTTTGGTCTTGAATTTCTCCTGACAAATAGCATTGCACTTCATGGAATGTGAAGGTGCATTAGTACTCCTGTGCCTACAGCTTCATAGCTGTATATCTGTAGTGAGAGATCCCAGGCACTGGTATTGTCACTACTGTGCTGCTCACTGTTGTCCTTGCTGAAGACTCTGACATGAGGAAGCAAAGCCCTCCTGCCTCTACCAAGATGGCTGCCTCCACACAGAGACACAGTGCAAAACAAGGCATAGTAAGTCAGTAATGGGGAAAACCTCAGCTTCAGGTAGACCACAGGCAATACTAATGACTAGTCCTTTATCCTCTGCCTGCCTTTTTTTTTGGGCACAGCTTCCAGAGTTCAGTTCCCCTATAAGGGTTAAGGCTGTGTTAGGGCAGAGATTGAGGAATCCGTTTAAGGTACAGGTATGGAAGGGTTAAATGTCAGATCATTACTTGTAACAGTATCTGTAATTTCAGTATAGTATCAGTGATGTATCAGGATTTTACTGATATACAATAATCATTCAACAATCTTACTCGATTCTCCATTTCATCAGATTCGCTTCTCTTTTCACTGGGACAGCCGCTGTCACCGCCATTTTCTGAATCCTACAAAATGTAAAATGAAGTTGTTGAAGTCTATAAAAACAAATACATTTGTTTTTTTTACTAGAAAAGAAGACAGAAAATAGGTGGGACATACTCTGTGGTTATCCAGACTGTTATCTTCATGTACCAGATTATCAACTTCATTGAAAATAGGCCATCCTATACAAAGAAAAAAATGCTCAGTTTTAAAACATATCATTTAGAAAGCTCTAGGTGTTAAAAACAAATCAAAAGGCTACCTATTTACCATAGACCAGGAGTAGGCAACCTCAGCAATCCAGCCGTGGTGAAACTACAAATTTCATCATGACTCTGCAAGTCATAATAAGAGCCTTGCAATATCTCATGAGACCTGTAGCTCCACAACAACTGAAGTGCTGACATTTCCTCTCCATGCCATAGACGATGACTGAGGAAGGACTTGAGAAATAAAAATAGAAGATGATATTAGTGTCAGCGTAGCATATACAAATTTGGATATATTTTAAAAACTATGCTAGTGATTACATCCTAACTGCAAATGAAATGTTCAATAAAGTTGATCTATTTAGAAAAGACGGAAGCGTGAATTCAGGTTTAGAGCTCTCACCATCAGTCCAAGAGGAATATATGATGCTGATGGATAATAAAACCAGGACACTGAAATTTACATCATGCAGAAATATCTGTCCATCAGCATATCTATAGACCTAGAATGTAGGCAGGCCTAGTAACATTAAAGAGCAGTATGCCCCCCTGCACTCCTTACAGCGTCTCTGGCCAGAATCACAATGATGGTGCTTGCAGTGATACTCACGGATGGCACCGTGCACATCAAACAGCAAATGAACAGGAATCACCAGCACTCAGTGGAAAATGTTCAAATGATAAAGACAATGTAATTGGACAAGTCGTCATACATGTCGCAATAACTGACATTTCGGGGCCATGCAGGGACCCTTCATCAGGGCAACAATGTAACAATTGTTGCCCTGATGAAGGGTCCCTGCATGGCCTCGAAACGTCGGTTATTGCAACATGTATGAAGACTTGTCCGATTAAATGTTACATCGCTGCCCTGATGAAGGGTCCCTGCGTGGCCCCGAAACGTCGGTTATTGCAACATGTATGAAGACTTGTCCTATTAAATGGACTTTATCATTTGAACATTTTCCACTGAGTGCTGGTGATTCCTGTTAATTTGAGGCCTGGTAACATGACATTTCCACTACTTTTTATTTTTTGCTGTTGTTTGCTACAAATTTAAATTGTACTCCCAAGTGCTGTTATTGAAGTGGTCAAGGTGCCTTTTTTCCAGAAAAATTATTCTGTTTGCATTCGTGCTTTGGACTAAATTCAGTCCTTACAGCTACAATAGCTCTGATATTTGTAAATATTTAGATGTGATACCAGGTTTCACCTACAGATGGCTCTGCAAGACAAATTTGGAATTCAAAACGCAACGAAATGGGAGGAAGAGTACAAGAAGAGAACTCTCCAAGAAGAGACCAATCTAAAGCCACTGGAAAGTCTTTTAAAGTGACACTAAACTCTAGAGTTAAATTGTAAAACCGCATTCAAGTGCCTTAATGCTTCCTATTTGTGTATCACTCAGCTGTAGACCCTCAAATCATCTCTGAGTTTGAGCTGACAGGGTGGATACTTTTGTTCCCCTTGGTCCCAGAGTGTGTTGTATACTAAGCACTGCTCCTGTGATGGACTACAACAGCGGTTCTCAAGCTGTGGGTCGCGACCCTGTCAGGGGGTTGAATGGCGATCTGCCAGGGGTCAGATAGCGGCTCCCGGCCGCCCGGGAGAGAAACACTTTCTCCCGGAAAGGTTTACTCTGCTCGATCGAGCAGAGTAAAGCTTTCCCTGCGATTTTGTTTTTTGTTTTTTTTTTCCTGACATCGGGGGCTGCCGTAAGTCAGAAAAAAAAAACTGGACTACAATCTCAATACAAAGTAGTAAACTAACCATGAGATTGTATTCCATCATGGGATTGATCTTGGAGCAGTGGCTACTTTACAACACACAGGGCCATGGAGAACAAAAGTAGCCACCTTGCAGAAGGAAGGACAGTATCAGCACAAACTCAGAGATGATTTGAGGATCTACAGCTGAGTGATACACAAATAAGATACATTTTTGTCAATAGTTAGGGCTTGTTCACACTGAAAGCGTGTGCGTTTCAGAGCGGCAGCTGCTGGAACGCAATGAGATCTCTGAGAAACGTCTCCTTGCGTTTTGGGGCTGGAGGGGGTGTGGCGGTGCATTGTATTCAATGGCACCGCTTCCACGCCCCCCGCCCACAGTGCGATCGTACGCCTGGCAAAACTTTGCCAGTGTTCCATTCCGCTGCAAACGCAAAAAATAGGACAAGCCCTATGTGTGAACAAGGCCTAAAGGTAAATGAATACATTTTTAAGATTTAACCCTGAGTTTAGTGTCACTTTAAAGTGCTGTAAGTACTTACCTTATATGATGTCTCTTGACCTGAACAGCTTCTTCCTTCCACTCATTTTCCGCAGTCCCTCCAGCGCTGGTGTCGGTCTCTGATCCACCGCAGACTCCTCGGGTTCTGTACGAAGTGCGTGCTCCCAGCTGCCTCCATCCAGCTTCAGCATTGCTCTCCTCCTCTCCCCTTCGATGGTCTGGACTGCACATGCGCACGCCCACCCTTCCTTCTTCACAGCGTTTGGGAACCTGGACTTCTGCTGCCAGGAGCGAGCGTTGCTGACACACGTAAGATTGTTGGTGCTGTCCAACTTTTTTTTTAAATATTGGGGCATATATACAGTGGGGCAAAAAAGTATTTAGTCAGCCACCAATTGTGCAAGTTCTCCCACTTAAAAAGATGAGAGAGGCCTGTAATTGGCATCATAGGTAGACCTCAACTATGAGAGACAAAATGAGAAAACAAATCCAGACAAATCACATCGGCTGATTTGGAACCAATTTATTTGCAAATTATGGTGGAAAATAAGCCAAAAAAACAAGACTTTAATTCTACTTTGATGCTATAGGGTGATTTTATGCCACATAATCATACCTTTAGGGGAACCTCCGCAGAGAGAAATATGCGGGTTGCCACTGCTGATCTATCCTTCTGCAAATCCTAATTGTTTGGCTGTCATGCTGATCCAATCGCCGTTACTGACCCTGAACAAGTTCTGACTTTGTTTAGACAATTCTTCAGTCTGAGAATTAGTATGATAGCACAGCAACTTGCATTATTTTTATTTAGAAGGACTCAAGACTCACTTACAACTAATTGGATCTCCCCGTGTGACAACCAGCACCTCTGATTGCCTGAGGAGCTTGTTATTTTGAAGAAGAGGAGAAACTGTCAAGTAATTGGAAAAAAAGCTTGAAGCTGTGAGCAATGCTTGCTTTTATCAAGCCAGCTATGATGAGATCTGCAACTGCAGTTTTTTATGTAATAAAGACAGCTGAAGGACATGGCACAGTGATTATTAGGTTTCTCAGAAAATAAATTAATTTTACCTGCCACAACCTTGAACCGTAATACCTGAACCTTACATCACAGATTAGCTGGTTCTGAGTAATGGCTTCCCTAAACAATGTAGACCTATTCTGTGCAAAAGAACATTTAAAGGGAAACTATAATATTTGTGGAACATTTGTTTTAAGCTTTACAACCTTCTAAAAAAAATTGTTAGTTCTGAGAAAAAAATCCTTAAACCTCGAAAAATTACTACTTTGCTTAAAGGAGAATAAAAAAGCATCTCCTGTTCAGAGAGGCAGACCGAAGCTGTTCATAGAAATGATCCTCACCTGATTTCGACAATTTCAGATCTATAACAGCAGGTAAAAATCCATGAACCCATCGAACTCCTAACATATAGATTAGGTAGGTGCAACGGTGGTCGACGGATGGCAATCGTCTCTATGCACAAGTAAGAATATGGACACCAGCACCGGTAGCACCAAGAGTGATATGATGCATTTATGTCAATATATAGACGCATTTGATCTGCATCGGGAGTGCCGGAGTCCATGTTCTTACTATAACACTACATGTAAACCTCTCTCAGGGAAAAGGATCACTCAGACCTTTCTGAAATTTTTTTTTTCAGATCACTGTCCCTCTATTCCCTCTATTCTACTAAACATGTATGCTTGGAAAAGGCAAGTATACATTTGCATGCTCATGCAAGTCAACTGAGGTTGTGAGAGGTTGGGTCTTGCCTGGATGTGTACTTGTATGACCTCCACATACTTTGACCCACTCTCCAGCCCCGCCTAAGAATCACAAGCTTTTTGTATAATGATCCAGCCCCAATGTTGCTCATAGTCTAACCTATGGTGACACAGTGTTCTTTGTTTACTTTTAGTAAATTTTGCGAATGGACAGCAACTATATTGGGATGCACTTCCCTGCCCCTTGCATTCACCATTATAATGTTTAACTAATAGGAATGAATAGTTCTCACTATAATGATGAGGGTCACGGAAAGCACGCCCTATCATTTAGTGAATGCCCACTCACAGAAAACAGTGAAAGGACAGCATCTGAGGGAATAGAGTGCTGGCTGGGAGCTGTAGTCTACCAGAGTCCTGCTGCAGCTCATTGTTACACTGGTGATGTACAGACCTGGAGCTGAATGGTAAATCTCCCTTTGCCTCCTCTATCCACTTTTTCTAGAGTGTATTTCACAAGATATACAGGTGAAACTCGAATAATTAGAATATCGTGCAAAGTTCATTTATTTCACTAAAGCAACTTAAAAGGTGAAACTAATATATGAGATGTACTCATTACATGCAAAGCAAGATAATTCAAGCCGTGATTTGTCATAATTGTGATGATTATGGCTTACAGCTCATGAAAACCCCAAGAACCCCAAATCCACAACCTCAAAAAAGTAGATTATTACATGCAAACAATAAAGCAAGGATACATAGAACAATATCGGACCTCTGAAAAGTACAAGCATGCATATGTACTCAGTACTTGGTTTGGGCCCCTTTTGTAGCACTTACTGCAATTACTTTTGCACGATATTCGAATTATTCGAGTTTCACCTGTATACATGCACACAATAGAAACTTAAAATCCTATATGAAACATTCAATATGTATAAAATGATGGCAAGCAAATGACCTGCACCCACTCCAAAATGTGTCCCATTCATGAACAGGAACTGCATTAACAACATATGTTTTCTCTGTTAAAATGACAAGCTCAAAAGACAAATGCTGAAAAGCTACTGGAAATGTATACTGTACATGTCAGTAGCATCATTTATTGTAACAGGACTGATTGATTGGTAAGAAAATGACTTTTATGAGCCGATCCCTTATAAAGTTGCTCTTACCATGTACATCAAATCGGTGGCCCTGGGGGGTGACCGGGGAAGGGGAGTTTGGCAGAGAATCAAATGTCATATCGGTCATGTTCTCATCTGCAGAGTTCTCTGAGAGGCGAGACAGAAGAGGTGGGCGGCTTCCTGACATAGTCCTGACCCGACTGCTGCCACATTTCTCTTCTATGCCACGCACCACTGTCTTGGCAGATTGCTGTAACAGAACAACAGTGACTATTAGAGAATACTGGAAGTTTACAAAAGATTGCTGCAGACTACTGTCATGTTCTAAGAAACTGGCAAGCTTCCCCTTACATGCTGTATGCAGCGGAAAGAAAAACCTTTGCTGAAACTCGGTCCTCAGGACACTATGTCTTCCTTCCTTAGTAAAGTATTTACTATAAACTGCAGGTAAACAACAGGTACCTGAGCTGCTCCAAGAGTCAATGGATCATCAGTGACCGCTTCCAAGAGTTGGAAACGATAACTAAGGGGGTTATTCACGAAGCTGCCGAAGGATCTAGCCGTAGCTTTGGCTGATCCTTCAGCTAGCTTCGGCCCCAGGACCCCTTCGGTTCAGTAGCTGGTTACCAGGGGGTGCTGTAACCAGGGGGCGCTGATCTGTCAGTACCATGAGAACTCAGCAAAGTTTGCTTTCATATCACCTCCGGCTCTGCTGATCGGTTTCTTTTTTTTTTTTCTTCTACTTTTTTAAACAGAGGCACCGAGCAGAATAGCCGAGCCAAATGTTCGACATCTACTAGAATAGGCCGAACAGCAGCGAGTAGCCTGCCGGAGGTTCGGCTCAGCAGATCCAGATGTTGGATCGGCTGAGTCAAACTCCTTCTGCACTTCGGGTCGGCCGAACATGACCCGAAGCCCCACGAAGCAAGCTGATGTACGGCTGACTTCAGTCGGTGTACAGCGGAAATCAGCCGTACAGGCCTGAAGTGAATACCCGAACAGCGTTCGGTTCACTTCACTTCGGGTCAGTTATTCACACGGCTGCCCTTGGCAGCTTTGTGAATAACCCCCTAAAATGTATTACTTTTTCATGAAAATGAAACAAATCAAGCCAAACTGACCCAAGGCCAGTGATATAGAAGAGAAAATCAAAAGCAGATCTCAGAATTGCATGATTCAAAAGGACACTGCCTGATATTTCACCACCTGCAGGTCTTGGTGACAGATCACCTCCTGTAGAGCTATTCATAAAACAGGTATTTACCAACAACTTGCTGCTGTTTTCCATAATGGATTTCTCCTTTGGTGAGTGGTCGAATGGCGTCAGCCCCATGCTTTTACAGATTTTGTTGCAGGCATGGGAATGGAAGAACAAAGCCATCCCTCGTACCCCTAAACAAAAGTAGAACAATTCACTATGAAAAAAAAATCATCAATCAAACATGCTTCTTTTTAACTCTTAAACTTGAGAGAGTCCAGAGAAGGGCAATACAATTAGTAAGGGGGCTGGAGTACCTAAGCTATGAAGAAAGACTACAGAAATCAAACTTATTCACTCTGGAAAAGAGGTGTTTAAGAGGGGATATAATCACAATGTACAAATTGTTTAATGGTGACGGCAGAATCCGTAACAAACTGTTTACTCTAAGGTCCCTAAAGAAGATAAGAGGCCACCACCGGAGACTTGTGGAAAAGAGGTTTAATCTTAGAGGATTCTTTACTGTTGGAGCAGTAAAGCTGTGGAATCTCTTTACCAGGCAGTGGTATCCGCTGAGAGTATAGACACATTCAAAAAACCTTTAGATGTCTTCCTCAAGGAATACAATATACAGAGGTATGGGAATTCTTAGTAACTAATACATGCACATACACACAAACACACGCACATTAAACTGGACAGACCTTTATTTAACCCTAACAACTACATAACTATTTAACTCACTCGTTAGTAATTAAATTAGTATAACATAAATTGGATCATTTTTTTCTAAATGAGTAAGAACAATAAATCCCTACCTGCCATCTTAATTAGATTTCTTTGTGTAAATTTCATCCATTCTCTTGAAACCCTAACTATACCCACAAAATAAATAATAATTTCAAATAAAAAAAGCTGACTGCCAAGTGATGCTGGAAAATGCAAACATTCTCTATGCTCTACTCCCTAAATCCCTATGTGTCTTACTCAGTTCCTCTGTGTTCCTAGAGATAAAAGTGATACTCTGCTGCAATTACATAAAGTGTGACCTATATAGTAATGTGTGAGTTAAAAGTTATAATAGTTTCATTAGAAGACTTGATGATGGTTAGGTCATCTCTGACAATCCATACAATTCAGCGCTGTAAAAGAAGCACATACGCACAAACGATGGGGCTTGATACTTCTTTTTTTTTTAAACAGAATTGTTTATTCAGTGCATCTATGAGAACTGAATAATCCTGTGTGCATTTTCCCAATAATCTCCACATAATCTGTCTTTTCCCCTGCTCTAAACGCATCATGGCAGATTAGATCTAATAACCCAAATACAAAGATCCTAAATACTAGAAACTTCCTCAGACACCAAAATCCATCTACGGGGAACCAGTCACATTTTTGTTAATTTAACACAACATATATAATCATATATTGTTTACTTAACACAACATAAATAATAATCATCCTCTTCACTTTGATTAATCAACGTTTGCAGTCTATTCTATCTTATAAATATATTCAAGTACCTTAACTATTAACAAAAAGGTATCGTATATGTGTATCACTTGGCTGTAGATCCTCAAATCATCGCTGGATTGATGCTGACTGCACCAATTCTGGGATGATTCGTGGATCTACAGCCGACTGATACACATATAAGATAAATGGTTAAACATAGAGATTTTGCTTGAACCTTTTATCGAAAAAAATCATTTTAGACTCCAAGATTCTGGTGTGGCTCTCCTGTTCATACCTCTTGCTACAATTTTGTTTATGGCATACACAGAAATTGAACTGTGTGAATTGACATGATACTGGAATCTTGTCAGAAGGAACTGTATTCTTTATGATGGGTTAAGATATGCATATGAAATCAACATTAGGAAAACCTGTGTAAAATACAGAAGTAGAAAGGAGAGCAAGCATCACTAGTCCTTGATGCTGGTCCTTATCTCTACTTATGGATGGCTGTCCCTGTAAGATGCCTAACGGGATGGACTTCAGTTCAAAACGGAGCTTTAAAGTTGGTGTGCAGACATTCCAATAACAGTCACTTGCCTTCCTTGTTCCTGTGCAGGCACCCATCTCTTGTGACCACTTTCAGGTTTTGCCTAGAGTGTGACAACCATATCACGTGACTTTAGTGTCTATTTAAGCTTGAGCGGGACAAGCTGTCACTGCTCAAGCATTGTGTCCCTATCAAGGCAGTACTCATGGTATCTGAGCTCCTTACATCCTGTGACCAGCGCTCCAGTGTTTCCAGAGGCTTTTATTACTGTGCACTCCTGTGTCTACTGCCCCAGTGTTTGCAAAGACTCCTCTTACGGTGCACTCCTGTGCCCAGCACCCCAGTGCTTCCAGAAACACCTGTTACCAGTGCAGCCCTGTTTCCAGGACCGAATGCTTTCAGAGACTTTTGCTACCAGTGCAGCGAACTACCAATGCAACCTTGCCTCTGGCGTTGTCCTGTTATCAGTGCCACTGGTCTGACCAGTACTTTCTTGTACCTTCTGTGCCACCAGTGCCATCAATTTTAGCTGTGCTACAGGCTACAGTTTTCACACAACCTCCTTTTAGAGCTTTCCTCCATGAGTACCTGCTGAGTAACCTGGGGGTAGCTTACAGCTCATTCCAAACTCCCGTGAGGGGGTCCCTGATGGAACACCAGCAATTCATCCCTTAGACTCCACTCTCCTGGAAAGCAGTCCACACCCACAGTTCATGACAATAACATAATACAGAGGCTGTCTAGGTTGACATCCTTTCAAAAATGCTAGTATGCTAGTGGTCTCTGGCTTTAGTAATTTCTGAGTCACAGACCCAGAGAAGTGACTCAAAAAGTACTGAGAGCAAAGGGTCAAGAATGGCCATTTGTTTTAAGTGAAGTGTGGATTTAGGTCCTCTTGAAAGAGACTCATAAGAGTCGCACAATAAAACTATTTCAGGAAAGCAGATGCCTATAAAGAAGAGACTGCCATGGCAGCATCCTGTAGTGTCATGCAAGCCGATGAGGGAAACCACTGCATTCAGAGGGAGAAGAAAGTATTCACAGACCCAAATGTATGAAATACCTGCAGAAGCTGGGGAACAGTGAAGAGGTGTTATTGTAAGTCATGGGCCACCACAAAGGTAAGTATAGATGTGGTTTTTTTTTAACAGAGCTGACCTTCTTTTACAAGTAACTCTGTGGTGACAGGGTCACTGTAAACACAGGAAATAACATTGCAGGATGCAACTTTATGAACAGTGTGAGATTCATAATGCACTTTACATTAAAGAAGAACTCCAGGCAAAAATGTTCTTAAAGGAGAACTATGAGGTGAGTGCTTTTCACTCACCTCATAGTTCTAGCCGACCTGTGACAATGAGACTGTCACAGGTCGGCTCAGTAGATCGGGAAGTGAGCAAACACATATATCGTCGCTCGCTCACTTCTCGATCCTGTCACGGCTCTCTGCCGTGACAGGGGAGGGGCTGGATTCCCCCCTCCAAGCTCTGACCCTCCAGTACTGACTGGTGGAACGGATGGGGGAGGGTACAGCTGGCTCTGCCTCTAGATAGGCAGAGCCAGCTGTCACTCAAGCAGCTGGCCGAAACCAGACATAATTGTCGGGATCCGCTTCAGCTGCGTCGTCTCGGTATACCGCGAGCTGTAGCTTGCGGTATACTGAGGTTAGGGTGATGGGAGGACACTGGTTTGTGTCCTCCCGTTACCCTAAGGAGAACTATGGGGAAAAGCTCTAACCCCATAGTTCTCCTCTAACCTTTGCACTGCAAGGGTTAAGTGCTCATTTCCGTCTAGGGACAAAAAAAAATAAATACTCACCTGAACTTTGGAGCCGTCTGGCTGTTAGGCTGGTCCCTGCTGCTTAGCTCCCCCTCCGCTCCAGCGGTCTAAGGTCCTGTGAGTCATCACGTCCTATATGGCCAGCCGACTCTGAGGTTCAGGTGAGCATTTCTTTGTTATTTTCGTCTCTAGATGAAAATGAGCACTTAACCCTTGCAGTGCGGGGGAGGTAATAAAATTTGTGTCGGGAGTTCTTTTTTAAGCACTAAAGATTCTGTATTTCACCAACAGGCAGAAATAATGCAGACATGGAAAACATTCTTCTGTAAAACGCAAACAGAACCATAGATGTGACAAGTAGACGTTCTAGTAAAATCCTTGCCAGACCCCTGAGCAGGGTTACAGCAGTAGCTTCCATATAATGTAGTCCCCACACTTTTCTAGAGACCTCAGCCCAATGTTATTACACAGTGCAGCTTTCCACTGTAATACAAGCATGAAGAATGCACCATAACAGAAACATACCTAAGTTCCCATCTCCAAAGTCAGTTCCGCTCTCCGTGTGGATTTGAGGATCTGTGTATAAATCTCCAACTCCTTGAATGTCAACAACAATCAGTTGATGTCCTGATCGTTCAAATGTAAAGTGGCTGAAAGCCTAGGAGGAGAAATACAGTACTGGAGATGAGAAATGTGCAAATAGACAGTAAACCATATACTTCACTACAGGGTCAAACAGTGATCTAAGGCCAGTAATTTTGCTAGGAAACATAATGAGAAATATACATATTATCTAAATATATCACAAAAGTAAGTAACAAACACACACACATGTGTATATATATATATATATATCTTAGGGATGCACTGAAATTTAATTTTTAGACCAAGCTGTCCATTCATAAACTGAGGTTATAGTATGAGTTACTATGTCCACAATCATGAATGAAGAGGAAGTGATGTAGATCACTTCCTCTTCATTCATAACTGGGAACACAGCATACTATGTCCTCAGTTATTTACAAATACTCAGCAACCAGTCCTTATCGCTGAACACTTTTACTCCGCTCTCCATCTTGACCGACTGGATGCAGTGGGGCAGTGCGGGAGGAGAGCTGGGCCTCCTGTGACAGCTGACCGCTGATTCCTCACCACACCACCCCGCTTGGCCTCCTTAAAGTTTCTCTCTTCCCAGCTGGGCACCAGTCTGTGTTCCCTCTGATCCATGCTGCCTCTGCTGAAACAGGCGGGGAGAGCAGCGGGGATCTGAGAGGACACAGACCGGCACCGAGCGGGGAGGGAAGAAGCTAGGGATACGCTGAACTTTTGGCCACATTTTAGTCCTTTATGGTACTTTCTGCATTTAGTCCAAAGTACAATTTTCGGCCGAAATTTCGGTACATTCCTAATGTATATACACACACAGACCAGTAAAAAAATATTCTACTATCGATTATTCCACTTAAGCATTAGAATTTTGTTTTACCATATAAGCCTGATAATGGTCAAGTTCACAGACCAATAAAAGGTAATAACTGTGGAAACAAAAGGAAAAATACCAAAACACAGATTTCATCATTTAGGTGGTTGGTATGAACCAGTAGTAAGTTATGAGAACTTAAAAAATGGCACCCCCTGAAAAATCCAAAGCTAAACTGCCTGCAATAGCTTACATCTCCAGCAAGTTTTGAGTCCTAACACCTCTGTCTTTCCAAAGCTGCTCTCTGACAAAGTCTTCAGCATTCAACAATATGAGAAGTGTTGAATGCCCATGTCCACCTGACCCCATGTCACTACAAGACTCAGAAGTAATGTATGGCACGATGGAAGGAACCAGAGCAAGCAGAAAAGGATTTGAAGGCTTTGTCAATGGCTGCAGCACCTGAAGATAGAAGTCTATGGACTTGCTGATTAATGCAGAGGCAAGTATTTACAGAGCTATTTTTGGGATAATTTGGAGGAAGCAGCAGTCGCTTTAGCTCATGTGACTTTGGGAGCCCAGCAAGAGGCAATGTGCCTTTCTGGTATACTTGCTGCTAAACATAGTTCTCAGGGTCACATTGAGAACTGTCCAGTATATAACTTTTTTGTGCACACAACACTCAGGAACTCAAGGCAGAAACAGACAGATGTGAAAACTGTCAGCTTTCTGGACCAGTCACAATATAGCAATGGAAAGGAGGAAGAACTTCACAGAAAGGGATGGAGGCTTTATGTCCCTTGGGCTGCAGCATGTTAATGAAATGTGGCCAGGTTTCTAGTTGAACACCCAGAGATAAATGCTACTTTTACAATTAAGTAACGTGGATGGGGTCTAACAGACTTTGATGTAGCCTACCTGTGGGGTGAGCCGAATATTGTCATCTCTAACGAATCCAGAGTTGGAGTTATATTTGATGTATTTGCCCTCAATGTAATGTTCAAGGTGGAACAATGGTTTTCCAGGTCTGTCCTTCATCTCAAGGATACACATCTGCATGATGTCCACCTGTCAGTACAAAACCAATAATTACTCTACAATAACAAACCATGCACAGAGGTTGAAAGGAAGATCCTCATCTGAGATACTCTGGGGCATATTTTACCTTTGCTGGCTGTAAAAAATCTGCTTTGGTCAGTCAGAGTCACACTATGACAAATTCATACTGCCTGGGTTAATAATGAATCCTCTGATCAAAATGTTCATTAATTAGAGATGCACCGATACCATTTTTTCCAGACCGTCGTCAATGTACAGAATGTACACATTTAGTCAAATCCTGCTTTTCAATAGAACATTTCCAATAACAAAATGTATCACAAGACATTTATTTTCAGTTTTGTTTGTTTTCAATAGTAAAGCTGCACACTGTTACATTACAGTTTCTCATATGTTTTACATAAGAAGTCAAAAACATAAACAGAAACTATTTTTTTTGGATTTCCTGCCTTTTGCCAAAATTGTCATACTGACAAAAGACACATGTGCATTTGTTGATAAAACCTCAATATAAATAAATATCTGAATCAAGAGTCAGCTAACAAACAAAAGATTGGCAACACTCAAACACCAACAACTGCAAAGTAATCACGTAACTGATATCTACACAGGATCTTGCTGGCAGAGGCTTGCAGCAAGACCTTGTCTAAAAAAATAACACAGTTAATGATCATTAAAGTGCTTTAGTAAACACACATTTAGACATGTAAAACAGAAATATAAACCCGCCGATCAGCGTGTTTTTGTGTGTTTTTGTAAGCTAAGACTGCTTTTCATTGGACAACTGAGAATGACATGAAAACGCGCCTTAAAAAGATATTACATATGAACAGAAAACACCTGTAAAACACGCTGAAACGCGCATAAAAATCCCACAAAAAAGAGCTAAAATGCTTTCGCCCTAGTGTGAATGGGGTCTAAGAAATATCCTGGAACGTATGTACAGCTATGTCCTTGTTCCAAAATATAAATACTATATAAACTATATAAACAACATACTGTGTATGAACAGGCTTCTCCTGTGACTTCTAATGACACACGCAGCATACACATGTGTCACTTATTATTATTTGCAGTTTCCATGTCTTTTATATAGATAAGCTAAAGATAATAAGTCAAAGAGCAATCAGAGAAGAGTCTTTCTTCTTGTGAATACTCTGTTATCTACAAAGTGGGACTGATTAGATAGGGATAGGCCCAGTCTCATTGCAGACAGCAGAGCAGGTCAGACTAGCATATGAGGAGTCTGGTCACATGCTGCTGCAGCCATTCTCCTCGCTCTCACGCTCACGTTTCAGGAGGAGCATAATATAAAATGTAAACATGTCAGCGCACAATGTGCTGCCTCACGTATACCACGTCTCAGAGAGCTGGAAAAGAAAACTGGCTAGTGGAGTTGTTTATAAACTGCTGTACAATATGTACGATGCCCCGGAGAATATCAGCTGTCAGTTCTCACTCGCTTCCATTACATGCTATAACTGGAGACACGCTGTATGATTCAACATAGTAGGAATAACACACCCAAAGTGAAAACAAAATACTCAGCAAATGCATGGCCAAACATGGATACTTTCAACCATGTTTACAAACATGTGAACATGGGAAATAGGTGCATGTACCAGATAATAAATAATAGAAGGGGGTATAATATAAACACAGTTTTGGACAACGATATAAACACTATAAGAAATGGGGTACATGGTAGATGGCCCTAATGATCACAGAGCACGCCTTGAAGCAAGGGGCAGAAATCTCTTAAAGGAACTGGGTGTGAAAATACATTTAGGGCCCATGTATCAGCAGATGGGCTAGTGCGTTGTGACATCCCCAGTAGTATGCGTGGTATGGCACACTGGCAGAGCTGTCGCTGTTTAAATTTTTTCTTTTTTTGTGGAGTGTAATATGTGTACAGTCCATTCAAGTTCCTGCACGGCAGTGTGATATGCTGCACTACCGTGCAGAGATCCGCGGTGGCATGCAGTGTGCGGAGACAGAATGCAGAATGTTTGCATTTTATCGCAGCACTCTGCCCATTACACCCGCACTGTGGTGTAAATGGGACACATAGAAAACAATTGTTTTCTATGCCTTCTTGCAGTGACTTGTATTGATCCGGTGAACTACAACGCAGGTCCTCGCACTATGTGTGAACGGGCCTTTAGCAAATTAAGCCCTGCGAAGTCAAGCTTTTCAATGAACACATGATTGTCGTTCATTCAGTTCCTAACAGCTCTGCACTAGCATCAACTTAAAGTATCACATCAAAATGAAACTACAATTTCCTATCAGTATCTGAACCTGAATCTATTTACAGCATCTGAGCTATGCCAAAGATCAGTTGATTTGTGCCAAATTTTAGCATTCTGGGGTTCTTATGGCAGCTTATTTATACATATTCATTTTTAATAATATAAATGTAAGTCATTTATGTAGTGCTTTCTTCCCTGGGGACTCAAAGCGTTTATGAAATTGTTGTTGGGTAGAAACACCATCAAACTGGTATCAGGCAGCCATATTCACAGATTATATAGGCAGGCTCCGATCCAGGTTTACAATCATAAACAGTGGTTGTGCTTTACTACTTTTTATCTCAATGCAAGTCTATAAGTCACTAACTCTTTTCCCAATGTTGTTGCAACAGTTGTTTGCTTAGATAAAGAGTAATTGAGCTCCTGAAAGTGACTGAAAGTTTCTGTTTTTTGGCTAATCTATGAATCTACTTAATACAAAAACAAATACATGGAAGAGTGGGATTGTATAAGTGAGCAAGTCATATCCAAATTGCAATACGGTTAATGTACTACTACTACTACTAATAATAATAATAAAATAATAATATTCATCATCATCATTACAGTATGTGATCACTTAATATACCCTGATCTAATGGTAGCACTGTCCACAATATTAGAATCAGAACCTTTCCTGTACTGATTTTGATTCAGTACAGTGAATTCTGATTGGCTTCTTTAGGTTACAGCTCTTTGCTCCATGGAGTGTCCATTGAATAAAGTGCATCATCACTCATAATAATGAGAATAATCTTAACTTATGGAGGAGGCTAATATCAAGGCAGTTTCGTGTACTCAAACTGGTTGCACTGAAGAACACACTAGGTCTGCAGACAGGTCTGCCTGTAGTTCAGCTTTTATATCACTTTGCATTACACTTAAAAATTAATACGTTATAAACACAAAATGCTAGTTGATCCCTATGTTGTTGTTTCCCTGATTTAAAATGACCTTTGATCTGTTTTGCTCAAGCCCTAAGCGACAAGTAGGTGTGATAAAATGTGAGTAGAACACAAGGTCATGAGTTACATTTCTGACTCTCTCACCTGTCTGCCAAAAGCTGTGTAAACTAATTCATTACATTACTGTAGCTATACAAATATTACTTCATGGTTCATAGTGCAACAATAGCAATACGTAACAATTAATATCTTCACAAAAGATAGGGCTGGATATGTACAAAAAGGAAAACAAATCGGGTGCCTCCTGAGGAACAAAATACGGTAATCTGGATTTAAACTATGCCCGGGTAAAACAATCATCTGACATGGGGCAAAAATAGCAATTTAAAGCTACATGTACAGTATGTAGAAATCTGGCATAGTTACCAATAGGGATGCACCGATACCGATACAAGCATCGGTATCGGCGGCGATACCGAGTATTTGCATGAGTACTCGTGCAAATACTCCAATACATAAACAAGTACCTGTGCCGCGTCCGCCATCTTCAGGGACACGAATCCGCCGCACACAGGACCTCCATCGCGTCTAACCAACATTGCAAATAAATAAATAAACTAGGAGGACTAGGATAAAACAGAGGTGGACTTCATATGCCTCCTGCCATAGCAAATTGTGTGCTTCTCCCTGCCTGTTGGGGCTTTGTTGGGAACATGGGGGTCTGTGCACTTTTGTTGGTAAATCCTAGATAAAGGGATACCGGGCAGCTATCATCACGTGAGACAGGTTCTACCCAACATTCTGTTTCATAGGACTGTCCATTTTTTACCTTAATTATAAATAATATAAAGATAAATAAGCCCTCTGCAGCTGTCAATCACTAGAAGGGGACCTGATGGAGAACTTCAGGTCCCCCTCTGCTGATTGGCAGATGCGGCCGGGAACCGCTAGGCGACCCCTGGCAAATCGTCATTCGACCCCCAGGTTGAGAACCGCTGCTCTACTATATTTGCCATGAAAACAACAAGTGCAAGACAAAAGTTTTAGAACCCTTTCACACAGATGGAGTCGGCTCCGCTTATCAGGGGTTCCATGAGCAGATCCCCGGCAGAATCGGAGCCACTTTTGTGAAATACGTGTGCGTTCAGTTTTTACTCCATGGAGCTTAACAGACCTATATTAAGTCTTTGGGAAAGTCTAGATGGATTCACATCTATTTATATCCACCTGCCTATACACTAACATTGAGCTTCCGTTCAGATACACCTGAAAAACCTGACAGGCAGATTTGAACGGGACACCATATGAAAGGGCCCTAACACTGAATATCTGACTTGAGATTTCTATCGCATTCTGTTATAAGGTCACTCCGCACACCCATGATGCCTTTTACTCTGAATAATTCAAACATGCCTATTGGAAGGCTAAGGCTTCATGAAAAGTCTGAGTGTGGCAGCTCAACTTTTATCCTGTTTCTCAAGTCTGGAACTGAAAAACCTTAGGAAATAGGGGATTTTGGCTAAAAGGTTAATGGCTGGAAATCAGCTGCTTGTTTAAAAAAATGGCCAATCAGAGCACATTTTCTTTAAGGCTCTTTTCATATGATTTTATACCCATGTAGAATTATATTATGCTGTAAAATAGTAATTAAAAAAAAGTGCACAGCTATTTCCGGAGAAATTCGAGAAAAAAATATTTTTTTTTTAGGGAAAGTCTCCTATAAGATAGCAAACCTTGCCTTTTTATGTTCAGGTCCACTTTAATATTCTTTGAACAATTTCCCTAACACACAGAAACCAGGACTGTATCTTCCCTGTCACACGCCACCAAAAGAGTGTCAACGGTGCTCCATCTAGTAATAACCGGATCTTATGGCTCTATACAGCACTAATGTCAAATAATGCATGGAGACCCTCGCCATCCAGATTCATGTGCTTGTGTAGTCATTCCAGTGCTGGAAAACTCCCTACATCCTGAACATTTAAAAACAGTTAATAACTCCATAAACTAGCAGCTTCTTGTAAAACAGGCGGTGCATGCCTATTAACATGAATCCAAATAGAAAAGCAGAAACTCCAAATAGGAGCATGTGTGTGGTTTTTTTTCTAAAAGCACGTACATAGCAAGACACAAGTTCAGTTCCAAGGACAAGAAACGAATCCTACCTGCTTTGGTGGTTTATGCCGGTTGTACTCCTCCCCCCATAGCTTGGCCTCCATTTGGAGTCGGACATCTTCAAAATATACATCTCTGTCTACAGTCTCTAAGTATCGCTTGGCTACATAATTCAAAGCACCTTTCCATTGATGACTGTGGGAGAAATTAGACAACTTCTTCCTGGGAATTTGGAAAAGTTACAGAAATGATTACAATGTAAGAATACATCATCAAAAACAAGACTTCTGTATGGTTTCTCAATGTTGTATTCAGAACATGGACCGTTGAATGTTCTTTTCTAGGAATTGTGGAGAGGAAATATATCTCTACAATTACTTTCCTATCTACAAATGGTGCTGGCTTTGTATATCTTCTTAAGAGTCCAGCAGAAAGGTTCTCATGCAGAAATTCCTGACCTTGTACCCACTTTCTTGGAGTCAGGAATCTCAAGACCTGCACATATGAGGTGGTAAAGCTGGAATAATGCCAGTCTGACTACTGATCCTTGTGTTACCCCACTGCCCATTGTTACCCCCACCCCAATCTCACACAAACACAACCTCTGCACTGCCAATTGACATATTATTAGGCTGTGCTGGGAGCTGCAGAAATGTGCTAGTGACATATTGGTTGGGGATAGGGGGACCACCAGGAGGCAGACACAAGGATCCAATATGCTCAGAAGTGACAAGGGTGACTCCAGCAGCACTTGTGAATCTGTCAAAAAAAAGGGATACATCCGAGTCCCCAGAGGAGCCAATATGCTCCTCTGGGGACTAAGACGTACTTATGTGCTTCATAGCAGTAATGCAGCACATAAGTGAGAAGCGGTGTCATGTCCTCTTTAAACATTATATACATGCTGGGTACAATCTAACCAGTATTTCTTGAACCTTTGGCAGGTATGCAGTCAACATTTGTAAACAATGAAGCATCAAATAGGGATGTAATATAACTTATTTCTGCATCATGTAATAGGTCATTAATTTAAGGTAAATTGCTGTTTATTCACATTAGAAAAACCAAACAAAATAATGCAACCACACAGTATTGAATTCTCTAGGATCTTATCAAGACTGTAGGAAAGAACTGGTATCTGGTTTAAAAACCTGTTTGGAGTCATTGTGTGAGCATTTAATAATTTACAGCTAGCAATGTTGAATCTTCTCATTCTTGGTTCCCTTATATCTGAGTTAGGCAGGCCATACGCTGTTAGAATTTTGGCTGATTCTAACAGTGGGTGGCATTGGCAGCTTGACAAAAGTTCAGTGAGTAATCGCCTGTTGTTGAAGGAGCCAGGCCAAAAACCTTCAACCAAACAGGGACTGCATCCAATCCGATGAGAGCAGCAAGCATTTGCTGTTAAAATGCAAAAGCTGCAGTGGGGGATTCCTCCATCCATGCAGTTTACCATGGATAGACATATCAGTCTGATTTTTTTCCCTCAGCCCAGAGGCTAAACAAAAAAGTTCTACTAGTGTATGGCCATCTGAGGTTTCAAGGTCCTATATAAAATGAAGCCCCTAAATATGCTATGACCGACCACTAAGATGTCTCTTCAGAAACACTTTATAAAGTGTGGTCTAATGTCTCAGTGATATACAAATATGGGAAACAAACAATAAATATAATAAATGTTGATAGTAGCCAGTAAAAGGAGTGAACTTCAGTAAATTAAGCGAAAGTGAAGGAGCCAATGAGATCACATTTTATGATTAGAATATAATTTGTTTAACTAATAAGGGCAGCAGACAATTTCTTTCCTCTGCCTTTAATATGAAGTCCCATATGTGGGCACATATGCCAAGTAGAGCTACGTGGTACTTCATCCCATAGAAACTCCCTTTACTGCGTGGCCTCATCGGGACTGAACAGTGACTTTTGTCGAACGAGCTGGGCCAAAAATCTTTCGCTGAACAGTAAACGCAGTCAATCAGTTGTAGTCACTGTTCCAGTATTTTGACAGTGACGGGAGTTTGCTGTGAGAATACAATAACTGCAGTGGGAGATCCGTCCATCTGCACTCTTTAGTCTACAGACTGAAAAAAAAAATGTAATAGTGCATGGCCAGCTTTACTTCCATTAGTTTATTATAATACTGTACATTAAAAAAACTACAACAAAACATTCTTGTTGATAGAAAGAACCTATACTTACGTCCTGTAGCATTCCCTCATAGCACCTCGGCCAAATGCCTGATGTAAATAGAAACAATTGACATTAATAAATGCATTAAGGCTTATGAATTCTATTTGAATGTCCTGTATTGTAAGATGCTATTAGCTCATTATTCCTTAAAGGGAAACTATAATACATTTATCGCAAGATCTTAATTTGAGCTACAACTCCAATGTTTACCCATATACTCTCTACATCTTGCAAACTGTATATCGGGTATAACAGTATAAATTGTACTAAAACAAACAGAACTAAATAACAATCATCTCAGGTTCATGTTCATTTTATATATCATAAAGTACTACAGTTAAAGTGGAAATAAAGTGACCTATTAAAAAATTGCTGACAGGCAGGTTTATTCATAGCAGAAAAGGCTGTGTAAAGTTGGATATACACGAAGGCATGTTTTTTGTTCAACCTGCGGGCTAAACGCAAAAAATATAACAGATTCCTCCATCCACACTAAACAGCATGTATGCATGAATCTCCTGCTGTATGCTTTGTATTCTGACAGCAACGGGGATGCTGCTGTCAGTATACCCAAACAGTGATGACAGCTAATTGACTGCCGTCATTGTTTGCCTGGAGATTTTCCATTCAGCTCCTTTGATCTTGTGAACGAAGGATGCCGAACCAAAGGGTGGCGACAGGGCCACCCACAGTGCAAAAACCATCAAGAACCAGACAAAATTTGTACAGGGTATAGCTGGCTTAAGTCTTTTCCAGCAAATAACTTCTACCTGCCTGTCAGCAATTTTTCTGTGCACTGAGCCGCACATGTGTAGTTCAGTGCACAGACCTGGCATGCTGAGGTAAGGTAATGCATGCACACGGGTGTTACATCATGCCGACTGACCAATCAATAGGGTTGAAGATGCTGAACCCAAAAGAAGACTGGGTGAAAATGGCGGCCTTGGCATCGGAGGGGAGAGAAAACAGTGCCGTAAATGGAGGGGAATGTTTATAAGACAAGTCGGCCATAATGTGCTGAAGTTAATGTGTTTACTTACACCTAGGGGGGACCTTAAAAAAACACAAAAACACTTTACTTCCTCTTTAAGAAAAGTCCCATCCAGATACAAACTACAGACCTTAATGAATAAAAGGGTATCATGTAGAAACTGGTTGGCAAAGTACCTCTGCTGTTAGGTAACACAATTCTTTCAGAGTCACAAGATTATAATCAATGTCACTACATCTATTATATACATTGCTTAAAATCAATTTGGTTATATTAAAAGCTGGTGTTACTATTTCACCACAGCCACCAATCAGATTGAAACTTTCACTACAGGTCTGAAGATGATTGGTGGCTGAGTAAAGTAATAGATCTTAGTCACAGATACAGAGAGCCATGAGCGACTTCAGACCTACGCTGTTACAGTTACATTTCAGCATCTTCTGCAAAACAAAATGATAAAACTGAGATCACTTACCTGTGAGGCCATTTTAATTAGCACATCATCTTGCACCCACCGGCCAGACACAGCGTTGTACCTACAACAAAACAACAAGCATATTACAGCACAGCACAATACTCTATGTGTAAAATGAGTCTTTTCAATCATTTAAGTTCAGCACTAAAAAGGATTTTAAAATAATTTCAATTTCTTTTCCATTGTGTATATATTTAATTTTGCATCTGAAAATACCTATTTCAGCAAGTATCTAGAGAGCTAAGATACAGTCTTAAACCCTTTCGCTGCCAAGGCCATTTTTTTGCACACGCTATAGCCACAGTTTAGACCTGTATGCATTAAGTTAATGTACTATAAAAGTCAATAGATACCCAAGATTCCCAGGTTAAAAATTCTGTATGTCCGTGAACCGGCGAGAAAATACGGTAACCCCAAATTGTCCATAGGCAACACAGTTTAGAGATATCCATGAATATTGCTCCTAGAATTATTGCTAAACTCTGGAGCACCCAGCGATACCTAACATACGTACGTAGGAGCACCCGACACAAGTTTACGTTAATACGCACGTGCTCACGGGGGTCGGGGGACTTTATTTTATTTAATCTTATTTTTTTTAATAGCCCCCTATGTGATAGCATACTAGTGGTGACAGATACTCTTTAAGGTCTATTAGGCCCCTAGTGTCACTTTTCCACTTTAAAAGGAGCTATCGGAGCACAGATTGCACTCCAATGGCTCCTTGTCCTGCTTCTGCAGCCGAGCAATGACAGCTGAGGGACCAGAAGTGATGCAATCAGCATAGCTTCCGGTTCCATTCAGCGTGGAGGAAACACTCACTACACCAGGCCCCTGGAAGCGATATGGCAGCAGCTCAGCTGCCAGAATCACTTCCAGTGTAAAGTCGACAGTTGGTCTTACACATGAAAACACAGTTAGTTTGATTAAAGAGGCCCGCTGCCAGCAACGTATGACATATGAGCATGCAGAGCTGAATGCTGCTGTGATTTTTTGTGAAAGGGGGTAAAGGTATAAAGTAACATGAGAAGCAATCTATTTTTTAGAGCCAGATGCATCAACATCATTACAATGCAATTGCCCTTAAAAATGTTGTTTGACTGAAAGAAATTATTAACAGTCATATACACACAGAGTTGTGACAAGGTCACCACGCCAATGAACTCATTTAACTGTCTGCCAAAATTTGGGCTAATCGCCTAAGACTTTTGACAATGACACTGTGTCTCTGCATAAAAGAATGGAATTCTTGCACTTACTTTTCAGTGTGTATTTTTTTGGTTGTTGGCAAAATAAGGGATTCTGCAATTGTATGTGGGTTCATAGTTTTGCCAGTTAAGAAAGAGGTTTCTAAGGAATCCCTTTGCCACCCATGCCTGATAGTGATGAGCAGTAAGAGAGTATTTCCCACAAGCCACACTGATTGTTGGTGTGCCACAGCTTGGTGTTGCCATTCAAATTTTTTTGCACAAATTTTCTTTTGCTTTAGAGCTGCGTTCCAGAGGGTTTGGCTTCTGGAACGTACTGGAATGAAAGCCGGCTGGCTCCCTGCGTTCAGCGTGGCGGTGCATTGAAGTTAATGGCACCGCAGCCACGCCGCCCCCACCTGGAACACAGGCACATTAGTGCCTGCGTTCCGTTCCAGTGTGATCTGCAAAAATAGTGCTTGCAGTATTTTTGCAGAGCGCACTGGACCGAAACGCAGGCACTAATGTGCCTGCGTTCTGGGTGCGGGCGATCGCACTGCGGGCGGGGGGCGTGGCTGCGGTGCCATTGACGTCAAAGCACAGCCCCGCCCCTGAACGCAGGAAGCCGGTGTTCTGTCGAGAACGCTGACCCAGTCGAATTTGCCAACCTCACCATCTACGCTTGCGCACACAGCGGGATTAACAAGGAAACAGGGATTTATTTACAAAGTATTCTAATTGTTAATTGTGGCCTTCGATAATATGTCATGTAGAAAGCAAGTATGTCATCCATGGCAGTAAATGATGAATGGCATTTTATGCACATTCTGAATTAATATCGTAATATTAACTGATATTAATTCATTTCATTGAAAAAGGATAACAAAATACTGTCAGTTTTTTAGCACAGGTTGAAAACCACTTAGGAATTGTTTAAGAAACTCACATGGCACGAGCCCTGTAATGAAATCAGACAGCCTGCATGGCTCAGCATAGACAGACTATGAACACTTCAAGAGGCCAATGCTCTCAGCAGCACAAACATGTCATGCTGTTCTATTTTTGGCCTGTTTAAGGGCTCTGTATGATGTTACCCCAGCAGCTGAGCCATATCTAAGCAATGACTATATTTAGAATAATCTTGGCCCACGTTCTACAATGTTAATCTAAGAAAATACATAAATAATAACTTTATTAAACCATTCTAAAGCACACGTGGTGCTAGTTCAGGTTGGGCTAAGACACCAGGAAGGGCTGCTTACAGCTGAACTGTTTACCCAAAATACTACTGTGTTATCAGAGAAACAGCAGCCCACTGTGTATCAGAACTGTATTTGGGAAGATGTACCTGTAGTGCACAAAATTTAAAGCATGCAGCATTCCTGTATAAGCTTTTCTTCCATACCAGACAGGTCTGGGCCATACAAAAAAGACCAAATCCAGCAGCCATTGATTCCTTGGAGATGTAAATCTCCTATACAGCCAAAAGATGACTATGTTTTTGTGGTCTGCCTTCTAATAATATTAGAAACATGAAAAACATCAGTTCTGCAGTGAAACCACATTGCGTACATAAATTGTATAAAAATGTAGCGTCCTGTCCCTAGCTGGCTGCATATGTTACCTAAACTTTTTTAACCATAAGGCTACGTGTCACAGTGAAGCATTCCAAATTTACTGGGAACATTCCTGGAACTCAACCAGGTTTCTGAGTATGCAAGCCAGCCTGCCACTTAACATGCAGACTTCTAAACACAAGTCTCTGTATTAAATTTCAAGGTGCAATGTGAGCAAAACAATACCTTGTATAGCATAGTGGCATTTCAGCAATGCATGGCTTTAAAAATGTATATTCTAAATGCTCATTGTGCCATTTAGGATAGCCTCAAGAGCTGGTGAAACATTTTATTCAATGGTGTTTATTTTATGAATTAACAGTACAAAATACAGTTGGAGCATTTATGTGACTTTTAAATGCCAAAATATTTGTAATTCTGATTAGCCACTCTTGTAAATACATGCTCCTAAAACACTGCAAAGTCAAGTTGGTGACACCACTGTTTACTGTTGTAGCATTCTGTGCCAGTTGCCTGTTAAATTAGTTATGAACAGAGATGTATTAAGGCAGAAAAGAGCCCTAGTCAATGTAGCAGTTTTGCCCCCACCCCTCCATTGACATTGATAAGGATTACAACAGGCACAGAATAGCTGCCCCATTTGCACTGTCTGCACTGACATGGCCACCCCATTAGACACCAGCTGCCTACAAGTGCATTCTCTCTTGTGAAATGACAGGCAGGTGCACAGCTTTGAGCAACTGCACTATTCTGCTAGTGAACTTTAGGAGCATGAAGGTTGTGGCTGGACTCCCTTGACACCCCCCAGGCTCTAGGCTCCTGCCTTGGTTGCCTTATGGATGATTGGGCTCTGGATATGAATGAGCATCATCTCACTCCTGAGACCCTTTGTGATGCACCTTCATTGTCCATTCGGGAGTCTGGCAGTGGGTCAGCCATCCAACTGAACTGCCGTAGAGTAAAGTGAGTTTTCAACTTTAAAGCCCTTTAAAAAAAAACAAAAACAAAAAAACGTATGCCAGCAATGTACACCGAATGTACATGAAGCAGGCAGGAATACTTTGATTACAAAGCTGGCTAAACAGAATTACAAAATGTTTGGTAAACAAGACAATTCACATGTATCCATTTAACTGTGTTTTATATCTATGCCTGTAGTTTTATTTTTTAATATATGTATCTGGTGTAGGTCATAAGGAGGACGGATTACCCTCCTGCCATGTCAGGCAACAGAGTGGGATCCACAACCTCAAGAGTCACCTAAGTTCACCTGCATACTACTCTCCAACTACTGTGCTGAAATCTCTTATAAGGTAGCAAGAGCTGAAACAGACCTGTGTCGGACTGCATGCTCTGTTTCTATTTCTTCCAAGTGGAACTCAGCCCATGGGTCAGGCATCTGCTTGGCTTTCTGGATGGCATTTCTCCAGGCCTCCTGTGTGTGCGACAGAGACAATTACTTTAGATTACACCCAGGACTGAATGATAAATTCTGATGAGAGGGTAAAAAAAAAAAAATATATATATATATATATA